TCCTTTTAAAAAGTGCACTTCATAATTCAAGTTCAAAGTTTCTTAATTGACATAATTAGCAGTCATTGCAAACAACTAATATTGAATCAAAATCAATCAATTTAAAAATGTGATTGATCAAAGTAGCTACAACAAATCATGTTGGATACGAGACTTCATTGCTGCACCAGCATAGAAAACAACACCAACAAAGAAATCATGAAAAATAATCAAATCTAAAGTTAAAAGGGAAACCTTTAAGTATTAAAGGGGTAGTCTTTAATTCGGCTGAAACAGTGTGACTTGTCATTAAGTAAATAATTCATAAATAGACTAAATGATGTGGCCCCTGATTGTCGAGTTGGTAGCTAATGCTAATTGGCGGAGCGTAGCAAAAGTAACGGCCTACTGTAAATGACTATTATTTACTCACCGTCGAGTAACGGATTGTCTGAGGAGGTGGATGCAATGGTAACTTGTTCAATTCAGGAAGGTGTTCCAGCTGTTAATGGGCGAATATTGCAATGGGAGGGAATGTTAGCGGCGCTATTATTGCAGATACAATACGTCAAGTCAGATCGTATTTAACAACTCACCAGAAATCTTCAAAGTTGAGTTTAGATTAAATGAGTGATGAGTCGATTTATAACTTCAAGTTGTTTTATCAACAACGGACGCGACAACCAACAGTGAGCAGCAGCCAACCCGGAAACACACATGACAATGAACTTAAAGGGATGGGCTTAAAAGGGAAGATGATTGGGTCATGTCGGTCACATGGGTTACAAAATCATGACACTTTTAATACAAAATTGACATTATTCAAAATGTGTTTGTTATGACAAATTGAGATCTGTAATTTGAGACCTAGAAATTTTGATCTGACATAAATTTGTTCTAAAAGTATTGCTGATTAAACTTTAGCTTTAAGAACATAAAGCCACATAATTTTTAAAGTTTAACCAGTAATACTTTTATGACAAATTTATGTCCGATTTTTGTCATAAACACATTTTGAATAATGTCTACTTTTATGTTTTTGATTTTTGTTTGGAGTAAATAAATGATCAACAAACAACTACATACATTTTTAAATTATCTAAATATATTGCAAAAAAAAAAAAAAGATTTTGTTGTAATTCTTTTGTTGTTGCAAATCAACAACAAAAAAATAATTTCAAAAGAAAATCCACCCTTTTTAATAGAAACAACAAAGTCAAATCTTTATTTGAGGCTTTCTGCCAAATACATTCCTTGCCTGGCCATTGCTTTGCTAATGTGCGCTGCTTGGAAAAGATATAATTCCCATAAGCTAATTCTAATTGAATAATTAGCTTCTAAGCCCCAGATCAGAATGTGCATTTGGCATTTCTCTCTGAGAACATTTCTTGGGAGACTATCAGAGCAGTAGATTTGACACTTCAGTCACATCCCTGTTGTCAGCTTTCGTCGGGTCTGCTTTAGTGCTCTGCCACAACTCGGGTCAGCGCTCAAGGCTATTTGCTTTGATTAACGAAAAATGCAACCAGGAATGGCAGTTTATTTGCTAAAGGAAGAATAATGGACCTCAATTATTTCCTAATTATTTGTTAACTGCTATTAAAAAAATGCTTTTCTTGAAAAATATCAGGTGCGAGCTTCATTTTGCAGTTGTTTAAGTGGGAATTTGTATAAGTTATAGTGACTATTGATCAACAGCAGACTGGCAGACAAAAATCAATGGGATGATGGCAGAGGACATAGAGGCACAGAACAATAATTTAAACACAAACGCTAAGGAAATTCACAGAAAGGAATTGAGCACACAATTGGCTTCCTGCAAACCCTGAAATAAATGCACTCAAAAGCATTTGCTTTAGGCCTTCAAATGTATTTTCTTCAAAGCATATTTACTAGAAGAATTGCAGTAACACAGTTAGCTTAAGCACTATTGATTTTTAAGGGGTCATGTGAAGTGGATTTCAGGTGACACATTTTGCTTAATTAAACTCATGTAGCATTTAATCTTGTTTACAAGTTTAACTATCTTCTTTATATACCCACTACTTTTTATGAAAACTGAATATACACTGCCTATGAAAAGCATTTTGCCCCCTTGGAAGTTTTACCCTTTCAAATGTTCAAATCACAAATTAGTCAAGGTCTACATAATTTGTATGGATACAAAAAAATCTCAGATGCACTAAAATCCCTGGATTTCAATTAAAGGGGCAGTGTTATGTGATACTAATGTTTTTGAGCTTCACATCAAGTTTTAATGTTAGCTTTGTTTTGATTCTTTTTGTGCCTGTTTGAGAAATCCTTTAGTGTCCCGTGTCAACCATTTGGTGTATGTGAATGCTTGCTCATGCAAAGTGTTGCCTGTTTACACAAAGCTCTTCCTCGTCTCCAAGCTGAGCTTCTGCCTCCGTCACCTGCAAAATCTCCACTCAGTTCCTCCAAACTAGCAGTAGCAGCAACTAGCAAACTCCTGGTTGAGCTGTGAGTTTGCTGAGCTCATCATAGGAACTACTTTTCTGTCCAACTCTCCTAAAAGCAGTTGTAAACTGCACAGTGGAGGTGAGCTGATGTCATCTTGAAGGGGACTTGCGGGAAGGAGCAGGACATTCTTAAAAAAGACAGAAGCCAATTTGAAGGAGTGAAATTACAAAATCTAAGTAGTTTTAAGTCCTGTTTGATATAGAAATCATTTCTACAATTGAAGGTAGCATAGTTACTTGATCGTGCTATATATTTTTTTGTTATGCGATATACTACGATAGACTGGCAACCTATCTAGGGTGTACACCCATTGACCGCTGGATACAAGCATACCTCACAATCTTCCTAGTGATAAGTATGTAAAGATAATGGATGGATGGAAAATTTGTGACTGGACTTGAAAAGGGTTGTCCACAGCTGATCCTCAAAGTAAGCCTGAAAAAGCTTTTTTGATTCAGTACCTGCAAAAAGCCCTTTGAAAAATTAAGGACGTCTCAGTCAACAATCCGTGTGCGTCTACAAATTACATTTCAAAACAACCTTAATGGAAATTTGCCTTCATTTTCTGCTTCCACTATAAATGTGGTATATGCTTTACTGAAAAATCCCCCCAGTTTTTCTGAGCAAAACACAGTTTTGTTTTGTTTTTTTTTTTTAAAAAAAAAGCTTTTTAATTGCTATGAAGTCCTTTGGCTGTAGATATACAGTAGTCGTGCAGGAAGACTCAGTGGTGGAGTTGGCTGCAAAGTGTAAAAACAGAGAAATGAGAACAAAAGTTGTAACTGGTGATAAACATGCTGGGTTAAAAGCCAATATAAAAAGGACAAAAAGAGAAATTTAGTCACTGTGCCTGAAGGAGGACAGGAGAACTGCTTTATAGGTTCTCGTGTCTGACATGAGGCTGATTGAATTTTGAGATAAATTCAATCCGCAAAATCACACAGAAAGAAAAGAAATGTGTGATGTGTCAAGAGTTAGAGCTAAGGCTAGCAGACACAATGTCAGACAGCCTGATAAAAGAGCCAGGTTAATAGATGAAAGTGAGCACATCTATCAGAGAGCATATTTAAGTGCTCTCTGATCACTTACATGTCATTCAGAAACCAAAGATAAGATGTACCCTGCTGCCATTAGAGTCTTACCTCAGGAGACAAAAAACATGAAAAGGTTGAACAGAGTCTGTTTTTCATGATGTATGAGTTCAGCTGCATTTCACATTTCTCACAAGGTTCAGTCTGGTTTACAGCCTAAGGAAACTGCTGTCCATGAAAGAGAAACAGCTTTAACAACGATGAGCACAACTTGTTTCAGGTTTTCCTTTTTTATTTAATGAGCTTTTGTTTGTCGTAATATTCAGGCCTTAATTAAGATTTTAATATTTGAAACCTTCAATATAAATGGTGCTAGAGAATAGAAAAAAATACCACTTGTAATGGAAACAGGAAAGCTTCAACATCTTGATTTGCTGTTTGTAAGCCCACAGTGATTTAAACAAGCAGGTAGACTGGAAGTGGGACTGGACAGGGAAGTGTTTTTAGATCAAGACTTAGTTGGGATTTTATTTTCTTAAACTTTTGCTTCAGTACCGGTGAAAGTGGGTGACAGTGGTTCAGGATAAGGCTTTATGAGTTAACCAAAATAAGATGCAATTTAGAAGTCAGAGTTAGCGTTTCTCTGTTTTTGTTAGGTTTTTCATTTCCTTTAAATTTGCCTTCTTGGGGCACAACTTTTCTGACACACCGCTTGTGTTTGTAGCATCTCTGTGGTTTTGGGCCTTATTGTAAAACAAACCCCGCAGACTCAAGGATGTTAAAGTCTCAGTACTGAAACATAATAAGCTGATTTACCACGATGGCGTGAGCTGAGTAAACAAATGAAATGTGATTATTTTGAAGAAATCTTCAAATGTTTAGACTCTTGCAAATATCTAATTGAAGGAGGTTTTCCTGATATGCTGCACATAGACTGCTGCAATTGTGCCAGCTAAAGAACATGAGAGTAATCCATCTGTGAGTGCCTCCTCTGTAATTATAACAGTGCTTGTATGAATCACTTCAAAGATTGTGTACACACTGATAATAACTCTGCCTTAATTAGTATCTTATTCTGGATGAAGCTAAATGGTTGCTTTCATTTTGTCAAAGCTACATTCTGTGTGTGTGTGTGTGTGTGTGTGTGTGTGTGTGTGTGTGTGTGTGTGTGTGTGTGTGTGTGTGTGTGTGTGTGTGTGTGTGGGGGTGTGTGTGTGTGTGTGTGTGGGGGTGTGTGTGTGGGGGGGTGGTGTGGGGGTGTGTGTGTGGGTGTGTGTGTGTGTGTGTGTGTGTGGGGGGGGTGGGTGTGTGTGTGTGTGTGTGTGATGGAGCCTTTATTGGCGAGAGACACGAAGAACAATTGATCATCTGCTTATGGTTCACATGGATGTTGGAGAGTGTAAATAAGTGTGTACCATTATTTTTCCTTAAATATGAGACTAATCCTATAGTGTTGAATGAAATGTAGAAAATATCTGAGTGTAGAGGATTTATAAGTTTTGATTTTGTAGCTTTTTATTAAACCTTAGATGAGAAGATTTAAAGGAGTTGGACATTAACATACATAAACATACATGCATGCACGAAGTAGCTCACACAATGAACTAGAGTAATTTGGTTAAATTAAAAGTAAAAAGAAAAGTGACATTTACAAAATATTACATTCATCAATCACATTGGTTGGTATACTTTGCTGGTTGGACCTCTTTTCAGATCCTTCTTTGTAACTGCAAGGATCATTAAAAAAAACAAAAAATCATTGTAAATCACTGAATTTGACAATTCACTCACCAACAATCATGCTTCACTTAAACTCACCTGGATCCCATTTTTCCCCATTGTGATGCTCAGTTTAAGTTCAGTTCAAGCTTCTTCAGAAAATAAAGTGCTGGTGGGTTTTCATATTGTCTAAGATTTTAAGCAGTTTTTGAAATTATTATGCTGGAGGAAGGATCCGCCTACCTGATATGGAAAATGTTCACATTCAATATTACCACATTGGGAAAAGATAAAGTGCTGCTATAATAATCACTGGGTAAACACAATTTTTTTCTCTTTTCACTCCAATTCGTCAGCATTTTTAACTTGAAAAAATAATCAACTATATGACTGATGCTGAATGTTTCAAATAAAATTGTTATTTTAAATATTTTTTTATTAGTTTTAGTGTTGTGGTGCATTTTGTGCACAGTCTCTGGTTGTCAGTACAAGCCGTGTTTATAACAGACAACAGTTCTCACATGAGTGTCAGATAATAATCACATAATTAGATGCAGACGTTGTCAACAGATTCCTGTTTGCACATGCATCAGAGAGCAGGGACCTTCGATGTATGACACATGTTCCTGCAGGTTTTCTGGACAGCTTATGAATAACTGATTTCACAGGAGATGTGTTGATGTACACTTGTGGTGCATTTATGAATTGTGACAAAAATGTTTGAGAAAATGTAAAAATAGCAATGTTTATATCTGTATGTTCTGGAAAATATCCTAGAGCTGATATATATCAATTAGACTTAAATTGACTGGAAAAAAACCCGCCACATTTTAACCATTTGGAAGAAAACTACTACCTAGCACAGATATTCAGTGTTTGTCTCATTTCCTATTGATGGGTGAGGGAGGATAATTTTTGTAGCAATATTAATTTGTTAGCGAAATTAATCATTAATCATTCTTGGATTCGGTTTTAATTATGCATTCATGCTGTTGCCATATTCAATTAATTCCCTGTTATTCATTACAATATGCCCATATTAGTTAATTTCTCTATGAAACCTGTTAAGTTATTTCTTGTAGTCTGTTCTTTGTGCATTGTGGTCTATACTACTCGACAGCAGATAATAGTACCTGTGCTTATTTTTCACCTTCTGTCATACTTCCTGTTTTGCCTTTCTCCACAGCTGTTCCACGTTCCCTGTCATCTAAGCTCACCTAAATCCTACACCATTATATCTGCTATTTAATTAATAAGACTGCTTATCTCCTGTAAGCCTTTGTATTTAGGCCTTTTAAAAACATCAGTATGACATTTTGAACTAGTTTACTTAAACTTAAGGCATCTGCTAAATTATATCTTTTTTTTTTTAAATATTATTCTGTGTTGATTTCCTGAGCTTCTTTTTTTTTGTTCCAGCTGATCTGAATGGTAGTAGTTGCTTCTGGCTTTCTCAACGTGCTCTGTGTGTACCCATGTGTCACATACATGAGCAGAGTCTCAGCCGACAAATGTCATGCTGGAACATGCAGCGATATGCAGTTATTGTTTGAAACATATTTCAAACAATAAATGACTCTTATTAGAGACAAAAAGGCTAATTAAAAGTGGAGAAATCAAAAATCTTCACTCCTCAAAGAAAGCTCTTATGCTAGAGGTGGTGCAGAATTAAACCTGTTAGATGTGGTTTTCATTTAGACATAAAAAAAGAACACATCCTATTGCATCACTTGTTGCAGTCAACTGGGAGACAGTGGCTGCCAGACTGGAAGTAGTAATGGACATTTGTGTCCTCTTTAGCTGCCATCATTTCCCACAGCTATCATAAAGCAGTCTCACGTTGTGTTTCTCTTAACACTGTCAACTACTACTGCCGTGCTGAACGTCCCCACCCAATACTTTTAGCACAGATCTTTGTTGCTTGTGGTTTTATTTAGGTGAGAAAAGCTACCAGTTGCCATCAGAGCAGAAATATGTTGAGGGAACATTTAAACATACCTAAACTTCAATTCACTCGGATTTCTATGCAGGTACTGACTTTGACTTTTGACTTTCAACACATTTTTGTCGGCTCTGAACTTAAGTGGTTTTTCCTAAGCCGTAAAGTGCTTTTGATAAAATGTTTGTCAAATAATTTAATGCAAATGCAGCCCTTTTATCTCATTAAAATACAGTTTCACTCCCATCAAACACAGGTGGGTGTTCCTTACGTGCAACAGTTGAGGCATGATTCATATTCTTCTGGTCCAACAACACTTATACTCACAGCACTTATAAATAGCAGAAGGTCTTTCCAGACTCAGTGTACATGAAGTCTTTAGAAATTGAAAAACAAATGACAACCAACTGAACAGTTGGACGAAATATAGTTTTGTAAAATAACTAGTTTTACGGACATGTCTGAGTTGATATTTTAGCAATTGTCTTTTCTGATCAACCCTTCTGAGTTGGCCAGAAAGCCTGACAGGTTGAGTGACAGCGATCCTTTCAAAAATACTCTTGCAGACACCAAATGTTTGTTTTATCTTTTACTCTTCTTTCTTGTCCTCTTTTGCTTCTCCACCTTTTACTTCATCAGCTTTTCCTTCTCCCCCTTTATCCTGATCTGTTTTTGTTACCTCACTTTTGTCTTCTTCTGTTTTTTCTCCTCCTTCGTCCTCAACTTTTTCACCAACTCCTTTCTCTTCTGTTTTCTCTTCTGTTTCCTCCATGTCTTTTTCATCAGCTTCTTTCTCCTCTTCTGTTTTTTCTCCTTTTTCCTCCAGAACCTTTTCATCAGTTTCTTTTTCTGCTTCTTTCTCTTTAGCCTCTTTTTTTCCTTCATCTTCCTCCTCCTCTTCTTCTTCCACCTCTTCTCCACTCAGGCGCTCCAGATCTGTAATCCTCCGTCTCAGGGCTTTGCCCGTATGTTTGTAATTTCCCAAAATCTTCTTAAGCTTCACCTGCATCAGCTCCATTGTGCTGTACAGTTTGGAGACTTTCTCCTCCAGCTCCTTAGCTTCAGGCTTAATGTTGGCGGGGTCCAAGTCTATGAGACCATCTTTCAAAAGGATCTGCCGGCCTTTGTCCTCTAGCATGGCTTTGGCATCTGGATATTCGATCAGTGACTCCATCAGGTCATCTTTGGAAAGACAAAAGAGGTCAGAGTAGCCAATGCTTCTAATGTTAGCAGTCCGCCTGTTGCCTGCTTTACTGCCTTTAATATTAAGGATGCTAATTTCACCAAAATAGCTACCACTTCCCAGCACTACAAACTGTGTGACTCCATCATCAGCAACAACTGCTAGTTTTCCATCTTTTATGATGTACATCTCACGACCAATGTCACCCTTTTTGCAAATGTAGTCTCCTGGACTAAAGACTTGCGGACGGAGTTTGAGCACGAGTTGGATCAGGAGGCCTGCCTCACAGTCCGCAAAAATTCGAACTTTCTTCAAGGTGTCCATGTGAACTTGGATGGCTATTTCCGCTCGTAGCTTGTCAGGAAGATATCTCAGCACCTCCCTCTCATTCTGCGCCTTGCCGTTATTCCACAGGTAGTCAAACCACTTAATAACTCTTAGCTCAAGTTCTTTGCTGACTTTTCGAACCTATGAATAGAAAAAAAAACAGCATACTGTTAATATTCCTTCAGATAATTTTATAATCAAAGCTTTTCATTCAGACTTCAGCATGATATTCACCTGCATGTATTGTTTGATGTTGTCAATACGGGCCTGAAACTGGGCCTGTGCAGCATTCATGTTGGAAATCATGGTGGCAATGTTTCCCACAATGGTAGCAAAGATCAATACTCCAACTAAGAAGTCGACCACATGAAAGAGAAACTCTGAGTCAAGAGCAGGTGGTGGAGTTTCACCAATGGTGGTCAGAGTCAGTGTGGACCAATAAAGGCTGAAGGCATATTTTCTCATCGGCTGCCCAAACTCAGGCTCCTCTGGATCATCGAGAGCTGGGTAGACCCAGTCATCAGCACCAAAACCAATCAACTTAGAGAATGAAAAGTAGAAGCATGCATTCCAGTGGATGATAATGAGAATGTACATAATTAGGTTCCCAATGCGGAAGATGTTTGGATAATTGGTTTTAGTCTCCGTCCTTGTGAAGAACTCCATCATTCGGCCAATTCTCAGCAGCTTGTTTATACGGATCTCGGGGTAGTGAAGGCCAAAGACGAAATAAAGTAGGTCTGTCGGCAGCATGGAGAGAACATCGAGGCGAAACTGGAAGCTATTAACGTAGTTATCTCGAAGCAACTTCATATCTTTCACCATCAGGCCTTGCTCAAGATACCCTGCAAAGAAGGAGATGCAATAAACAAGCAGATTCAGTTTTATTTGTAAAGTTTATGTACATCAAATACATATTTTGGTTACAAATAGTGTAAATACGCTTCTCTTGTTTTACAGCACAGTAGATGAGTTTGCAACTAGCACTGTGTAGTGCCAACCTCAGGTTTAAACAGTTTGCGTCCAGGATACATGAAGACAGTACTATGTTCCCTTCTTTATCCATCTGCTGTCTCTACCAGATTAATTGTGTTCATCTTCACAATAAGCCTATTCTGGTAGTTAACAGGATAAACTCTGGACATCTTGACAATACAGAACAATACAAGACAGGAGCTTTTTTATAGAAGACTCCAAATTGGGACTTGGGTGGCTTCTCCCTGTGTGTGTTTTCTAAATGAAACAAGACAACAAGGAGTTGAGGTTAACCTGCAGCCACCAAGCAATGTGCCCCACCTCCCATAAATTGACTGCTGGAGAAAGGCACCAGCCACCGTAGAAAGAAAAGCAAGTATAGACAGTGGATGGACGAACAATGAAGGAAGAGGATGCCTTTATACTCAACATAGAACACATTGTCTTTATTATTTTAAATGTGACATTTTAAAATGTTTTGACAAACTCTTTTTTCTAATTTGGGGATGTTTTTGGCAGATGAGAAATCTCAAGTTTGTTTTCACCTGTTCTGGTTCTGACGAACATGTCCATCAGGTAAATTAGATCAGAGCTGTAGTCCAACAAAACCCAATAGAGAAGGTAGTCCTGTTGCAGCTCCTCAAAGCATGCCCTGTTGGAAAATAGTAATAAATTGTTTATCCCCTTAACGTCAAGCAGAACAGAGATTGTGACATTCTTGACTGCTCTAAATTGTAGCTAAATCTAGAATGTGAAAAACAACCTTGAGCTGACTTGGCCTCATTTCATGCAAAAATTAGATAGAAAGGAAAACGTAGCAACAGATTAGCTAATTAGCTAATTTACCTGGCTATTATCATCGTCCAATTATACATGACTGGCATTGCAATGATGAAAAGCCAGTTGTAATACAAATTCCCTGCAGGATTAATAACGAATATTTCCTTGGGCCTGTGAACAAGCAGAATGAAAGAAGAAATCATCCACCTGAACGAACAGAGCAATTATTTCCAGATATTCTTCCAAATTATGAACCTACTTGTCTTTGTCCTTTTCCTTTGCCTTTGCCTTTTCCTTTTCTTTTTCTTTTTCTTTCTCCTTTTCTTTCTCTTTTTCTCTTTCTTGTTCCTTTTCTCTTGCTTCTTTTTCTTCCTTCTCCTTTTTCTTTTTTCTGCAAGATTCAGTGCAATGGACAAAGACCATGAAATTTCCTTAAAGGTTTGTGACATTTCTCAAGACTTTCTGATGTAAAATAATTACTCTTTCTTCTCCTTCTTGTCTTTCTTCTCCTTTTTCTTTTTCTTTTTTTCCCTGGTGAAAAAAATAAGACATTTAACTTAGCCCACATGGCTAATCAAAGAAAAGTGAAAGACTTCCATATATTTTCAAAACTTCAAACTGTACCTACTCTTCATTGTTGTTGCTGTTATTCACGTTGGTCAGACAATTTGATTGAGGTGCACTTCTGAAAGAAACACAGCATGTTACACATAAAGTGAATTATTGAAAAAATCTGTTGTCTTATTTCATTCTTATAATTTCTGCATTTGACTCAACAAAGGTTTCCCTTTGAATTGTAAAGTATTTAAACATGACTCACATGTCATCCTCACTTTGTTCTTCACTGTCTGTGGTAAGTTTGCAAGCTGTGTGACCTGACATTGCATTGGTGGACATGGTTATTGTAGCAAATATTTGATCTGTCCTGCAGAGATCAAACAAAAGACAGACATTGATTAAAGATGACTTAATTGAAACTTATCGTGTTAATACTGGCTAATGGACTTTTGAATGTTAGAGTAAGAAAAGCCTCACAGTTGTTCTACATGGCTTGAAACTGAAACAGGGTGAAAATGTAACACTCCCCAGAAAGTGTTGGATTTGAGATTACACACTCAAGATGAAGGGATCCAAAATGGTATGTCTTACATTTACGCCAGTGGCGGAGGAAAGAGCAAATTAAACAACTGCAAGTTCTTAAAGGAAAACTGAGGGAGAATAAAGGTCACTCTCTGTAGACTGATAAATAATACTTATATCTACTTTTAATAAATACTACATTAATTTCAATGTTTGCTTATAGCTTCTCTCAAAGCTTTGACTAAACATCATTCCAAAAAAAAAAATATATATATATATATATATATATATATATATATATATATATATATATATATATATATATATATATATATATATATATATATATATATATATATATATATATATATATATATATATATATATATATATATATATATATATATATGCAAAGTTTTTTTGTTTTTTTTCAAATTTTAACCTTATGCATTAACGTGTTTTCACAACACTTTATAAAATGGAGCAGCACAGGGTTCAGGAGGAGTTGTATAGATCAACAGCTTATCTAATAAATATCTGCCTTTCATGTGTCTATTTTTGGGGGGTTGAAAATTAGAATTTCTGTCTGGAAATCAAGATCCCAGAGTCTGCAGGAAGAGGAGAGGCACAGAATCCATGTTGCTTGAAGTCCAGTGGGAAGTTTCCAAAATCATTCATGATTTGGGATTTTATGTCATCACCTGGTGTTGGCCCACATTGGTTCACACGTAACCAGTGCAGCCAGGAAATGTTAGATAGAGTACTTTAGTAAGAGTACTTCTGATGTCAAGCTTCATTGAAATTTTGATTTCATTTTCCAGAAGGACCTGCCTACCATACCAGATATATCAAAATCTAGTGAATGACCAGCAGAGTGGCCAGATCTGGAACTTTTTCAAGAGGAAGATGAGAGACAACACCTGACCAAACAATGCAGATCTGGCATTGTTTGGTAGATCTGCAAACAACTATCAGAACTATCAGCTCTGGACCTCCATTACATCTCAGCAGAACCACAGTTGGATCACCTTCATACCACGCTGCTCATGCAGTAATTCATAAAAGGAGTCTCAACCCAGTGTTGAGTGCATAGAAGAAAATATGCTTTCTAGAAACCCGAGGTACATTAAGATTTTCAGTTGTAACATAACAAAATGTGAAAATCCTCAAGAGGCTTTAATTTAATTGCTGTTTTAGTATTGTACTTCAAACGAGCAATTTGTGAAATACAATCAAACAATGGGAACACCAACCAGGAGTTTGAAGAAAAATGATGCAATTGTACCACATTCATAATTTTTTTCCATAACCCTGCAATTATAAATTCATGAGTTTGGAAATCAGGTTACCAAAATAAAGCATTCTTCTATCCTAAAAGCTTTGACTGACAGGTTTTCAGATTTCTCTAAAAGTAATTTAAACCACGGAGACTTATCAGTCAAACGCTTCTCTGTATTTTGTTTTGCTGTTGGATTTTTAATGACACATTTTATTAGGTAGCACAAAACAGCACGATGGGTTTCTTTCACAAACTTATGCGGCAGAGAACTTCAAATTACAAGATTACATCTGTACTCATAAATAATACCCCAAACAAAACAGAGGATTTGCATGTTTATTGTTTTGTCTGCATCATTTTACTCTTTTTCAATGGTTGTGATGATAAATTGGTCGTGATTCTGGTCATGAATATCTTCAATATTGTCTGACTCAATTTTGTGTTTGGCCACAAAAAATAACGTTAAACAAAACAGAAAAGACTAATCATTGATTTTGTGCCAGTGTAGCGTAGATTCATAGTATTAAAATATTTCATTTAATGTAGCCCACAATAATTTAGCATGTAGTCAAATATAGCTGATCTTACCTTTCCCACTCCTCAATTTATTAAGTCCATTTCTCTTAATCCTTTTGTAACTTCCTTTTAACTAAAAAAATTTTTTGTCATGTAATAATACTATTACTAGTGTCAAGACATAGATAAAAACTGATACCTCTGAGTTTGAAAGACTGAATGAGTGTCAATGAGTCTGAGTGACCCTCACAAGGATTTGGGGATTAGATTTAGCTGAGAAAAGGAAAGGCACCATCTCAGTTTGTTCACTTGTCAGTCAAGCTTTAAGAAAATTAATTTAGATGATTGGATGATTCCTAAGCTATTTCTGTGTCAGTCAAGTTCTCATTTTTATAATTTGCAAATATCAGTAATCTTCCTGCCATTTGTGAAATAGCAAAGGATTTAGTCTTGCAGTGAACTCACACACGGATACACACACACACACACACCCCTGCTGCTTGGTCAGCATTCTCAGACATATCCTATCCTGATCCTATTAGACCAGCACCAGCAGAACAGAGCAGATTTCAGATCAGATAGATCTGCCCCCGTTAAATGCATAAGAATGGTGCAGTAAAGTTGAAGCTGACCTCTGGCAGCGCAGAAAGCTGGGAGTACATTGTGGCCTTCCTGTGGTAGAGTGGCTCACCCTGTTGGCAAGTCTGATTCTTGCAGCGTATTCTCAGTAAATGTTGTATTTAAATCAGAAAACTGAAGTGCTTATTTGAACTTTATGTCTCTTACAGTTTAACACAGATCGAGATTTTAGGGTTGCAAATTATCATAGATGAAGGAGGTCAAATTTATTTCCGTAGTACTTTCACACAGAGTAATTTCAAAATATTTCATGTTTGTTTTTGTTGATTTTTTTTTAGAAAAATTATGTGGCTCTCATGGCCTTCTCTTTACAGTAGTCAGAAAGGAAAGTGGGTTGTGAGAGAAGGAAGAAAAACACGTGACAAATGTTGACAGGCAGGGACTCGATCCTGTGATAACTTCCTTGTCATTGGAGACCAAACCAATTTAAATTTCTTCTGCTGGTTTTTCCTAAAATCAGACATTCTCTCCATACCAACATCTGACAAAAGTTTACAAAAAAAATAAATTTTCAGTGAATTTTTTTTTCAGTTCTTCAGCATTTTTTTTTTTTTTTGCAACGCAAGAAAGGTGTGACATCTACTTATTCCCTAATCTACTTTTGTGATGTCCCCAAAAAAGAAAAGTAAGGAACACCCTTGACTGTGTACTTGTACTTGTCCTTGAATACTAAGCATTTTGACAAGTTTTTGCTTACTTTTGACCAAAAACCATAAATGGAAACACAGAGCCCGTCTCTCCAAACTGCATCTCCCATGTAGTTCGTAGATGTCTTGGTAAGCTGGAATCTCATTTGGAACATCCTTTATCCCGTGTAGAGTGTGTAATGAAGGGTTTTTATTGTATCAGCTGAGGCTCAGCATTTCTGGTCACTGAAGTGGATCGAAGCACACAGTCTAACTGCTTTTCATGCCTTGTAAATTTCAGTCTTGTGCCTCCAATCCTCTCCAGATGGTGGTCATGTTTGCTGCTTGTGTAACTTTTTATGCCGCACTTTTTCTCCTCATGGGACTTACAACAATTTGCCTTTTGAAGGCACTTCATGACTAGCCAGCTTTAGTAATGATCTATTTGATCTTCTGCATCACAGTTGTCAAGTTAGCAGTCTCTGCCATCATTATTTAGCCTAAAATGTAAATATTTTAAATTGTTTTTATTGCCCTCACCATTAAAATAACAAAAAAAGATACGCTTGAAAGATAGTGCTTTGTGTAATGAATATATGTAAAAGCTTTTGAAATAGAAAGAAAGAAAGAAATTAACCATAGTCATGTGGTGACACAGAAATATTACGTTTTATTAGGATTTGTCATGTAAAAGATGGAGGAGTGCACAGATTTTCCCTCACATGAAGAAAAATCACCTAAAATTGAACATTGAGGAGCCCCACATGGGACTTGTTTCTATTCCAAATCAAAATGGCCAGACTCAGTTGTACTCAGTCTGAAAAGATAGCATTATGACTCAGATAAAAAGTTTACATGGCAACATGTGTTCAGCAAGAATATTTGTTTTAATTTGTAACAATAAAATGTGAATAACAGAAAAAAAATAAAATTCTGACCTCTTGTCACTCACTCAGTGAACACAGCTGAAAAATATCAAACTAATTAAAAAATTTATGAGGAAAAAAAGGTAAAAAGAGGATAAATCCACATCAAGATTTTGGCCTAGATGTGAACAAGCAACATCTTTACTTATTCTTTTGTCACGGCTTCTTCCAATGTTGATTCAAGAAGCCTGCAACTAAGTAAGCTGGAGGTGTTTCAAGCTCCAATTTTCTGTAAACACACAATACACCTTCACAAAGAAGGGAGAGGTGGATAATTACAGCGTTGCAAGGACCTCAGCAGCCACTGTGGCTGCAGCAACGTCAACAACATCGACATCAGCAGCGACAGGGCCGGCCACATCGGCAGGCACCTCAGCAGCTGTGTCCACAGGAACAATGTCAACAGGGGGCACGGCAACAACAACACCGTCAACTGGTGCGACATCTGGTGGGATGTCAACCACTTCAGGCTCAGCAGCTGCGGCGGGGTCTGCTGCCGGGGCTGCTGTGGGGTCTGCAGGTACCGTATCCACCACTGTTGGCTCAACCTCAGCTACCTCTGTCTCCTCAGCTTCCTCCTCTTCATCAGAGTTCAGAGGAGCAGCAGGAGCACCGGGGACTGCAACTCTAGGAGCGGGGTTCCCATCCTTACAGAAAAAAATAAACAAACAAAAAAATAAAATAAAACAGTGTGAAGTCCACACAATATTTAGCAAATATGGGGAATACTTAATGACCAAAGGAAAATTGATGCAAAAGGGAATGTTCAAAAATGTTGAGATGTGCTTTAGATCTTAAAATTATTATAAATGAGATTTGCACACATTAAGTCACACAAAAATGTATTTACTCCTAGACGTTTTTAGACTTGGTTATATGAAATTAATGAATTGCTTAGCTATCTAAGTTTTAGGATGTTTATATTGGCTCACTGTCCCACTTTGTGGCTAAGTGGAGAAAAACACATTGTAAGCTACACCTATGATTTGTCTGCATTGAAAGTACAAACTGTCAACTGACAAACACATGAAAGTAAAGTCAGCAAAATGTTGAACACAGTGACTGTTGAAACTTGCTGGAGAACACAAAACATTTGGCTTAAAGCTTAGTCTAGAACCGCACCTCGGTTTCCTCGTCTGAGTCGTCCTCTGCAGGGCCGGGAGCCAGCTGGGCTTGCATAGAAACCACCTGAAAGAGTTGTTGTTTTCCCTCTTCAAATAGAAAGTCTTGGCATATAAATGATAGAATGCTGTCATCATACTTACCGCAGGCACAACAGCTGAATTAGCCTTTCCAAAAATATAAATAAAATAAATTGTTTTATTAATCATTAGCTTATTATCTGTTAGTTTATGCAAAGTTTTCATATGAGAAAACTTACAGGAGCATCAGCAGCTGGAAGGAAGGGATTTGCAAGCCCCTGAAAAAAACAAAAAGAAACAGACACACACTTGAAGTTGATGCTAAATGCCACATTATCTAAACAAATTGGCAAACCACTGATATTTATCTGACTAGGATTTCAATAAGTCTCCCTTCTTCCCCCACCTGCTGCTGGTATAGCCTGTACATCTCCATCAACCTCAGGGCCTCATTAGCGTGTGCTGCAGCCTGCTGAAAAAGATAGAACAATACCAGACATCTCCAGACATGAGCTACAACAAAGCCAATTATTCCTCCCTCTCAGTCATCCATCATGCTGTTTAGCTGATGAGAATCCAAAGCAGTCGGATCCAAATCGGAACCGAAAAGGAGGAGAGGAATCCTCTTACCTCACTACTCTCACTGCCTGGTGCCTACAGTTTGGTGCAGGAATGAGAACAAACATTAATTAGTCTGAAAATACAAACAGTCTTTATATATCAAACAGTGAGACTGGTGAGACTTACAGGGGCAGCAAAGGTGGAGACCAGAAGGCACAGCAAGATTACAACCTGCTTCATTGTGATGGCTGTTAAAGAAAAATGCAGAAAATAATATAGAACATTCCCCGATTCATTTACTTTAAATGAAAACAGTGGAATCATTACACTAAGATTAAGAAGTAGCTTGAAAGAAGATCTGTATAATTCAGAACTGCAAGAGTACATCAACGATGAACTCTGTGATAAAAAATTCAACTCACCTTTTTTTTTTTCCTTGGAACTGCAAAAATCTAACACTGTGCCTCTTCAGAGAGAGAATGAAGTCTACTTTATGCCTCCCATGGATGCCCTTTATATCCTCTAATAGCCAATCACATCCACTAAAACATGCATAGCTATGTGATTGAAGATTCTTACATGTCAAAACTAAAAAATATGGTATGTGGGGCTGGAGCCCTTATTATTGATAATTACATGCTGTGCAAGTTTGCTTAGGAAACGTGCTCTTCTTTATTGCCCTAAGACCAAATATGGAGAAAGTAGAAAGAGGGGGATGCCATATAGAAAACTGGAGCTTTACAGAGTGACTGAGGAATATAAACTGGAGTCAACTCTCTTTATAATGTTCCTCTAAAGCACTGAGAAAACATAATGTTCTTTACAAGACAGAGAACAGAACTCAAAATGTGAAAGTAAACAAAACAAGGCGAATGAAATTAAATGAATAAGATGTTTAAAATCGGTTTTAAACTTGCAATGAGCCATTCATAAAATAAACTACAACAGGAGAAATAATTAAATATATATATATATATATATATATATATATATATATATATATATATATATATATGTATATATATTCAAAAGATAAATAAAATAAATAAATAAAATGAAAATGATCAGTTTGCAAAAGTTATAAATGTGATATTTTTGTCAAGAAAGAAATTAATTTGATGCAATTTGGAATAATAAAATGTGCGAAAAACAGCATTTTGAATACTTTCTGGATGCACTGTGAATATTTAATATTGAAATGAAATAGATCTTCATCCAGATGGCTGTGTAATAGAGTACAACTTTATGAATAGATGATTTCCTCAGTACAAACAAATCTAGAGCGTCTTTAATGTACTTAAGATTTTTTTGTTGGGATGTTCTAGTCAATGTTATCAAAGCATCCATAGAACAGAATCAGAACACATTTTCCCCACATTTTCGCAGGCAGTCGGGCTGTAATAAAATGCCTCTAACTGTATGTCACACCAATTGCTGCATTTGAACAATATTTAAAAAGAAATCTGTCTGAACTATGGAAAGTGGTGTGTAATCAGGTTAACTGTTTACAAGCCTATAAAAATCGTGAGACATGTCTGTTTATGCCCAAACCTTAATTAAAACCGGTGCCTGCCGGAAAAAAATATTCTTAGAAACAAATCCCAACGCAAAGCATAAAACTATTGGCTGTTGCATTTAGTGGAAGTTAACATGTTAATAATCCTCTGGTCAAAGGGCTGGTCTCTTGAAGTGACATTCAATGATAACCCAGGTTTATTTCCAGGTTTTAAATGAAAACATTCGTTTAGCAGAAATATTCAACATCTGAGGAGTTTATTTTTCCCGGTAGTTAAAGAAACCTTTGTGGTTTAGAAAAAATGTTGTTGTTTTTTTTAGGTATTTCTATTTTTTTTCTTTTCTTTTTTGTTTCAGATCAGATACTATAAGATTTATAGTGCAATCTGTCAAACTTCATCCCAGACAGTCTTGACTGAAATCTGCTGAGATAATGAGTTCTTCTAGATAACAATCACTTCATTAGTTCTTCAAAGCCCTTCTGGTCCTGTGACTCCACACTGAGATTATTTTGTGAGTTTAATGAGGTGAAGAAGACATTATTGTCTGTTCAAACAGGAATGCTTGTAATTCCCCATCCTAATTAAACTCTGCTTTGCTCCAGAGAGCAAAGCAATAGTATGTAATTATCATTATTTGTCTTTTTTGATGCATGTTTTCAGAAAGAGATTTGTCATTTAGGATGGTAAATGGGACATCAAATTATCATAATAAAATTTTTTTTTATAACCTCATGTGTGAAACGGTTCTGAAGCTAATATTTTTTTCCATTTTTGTTCATTGTATCAATAATTTGGAACAATATTTCTCAGTGTCATAGATGAAATAATGTAAATACACATATTTAACAGGAATATCCTACCTGTTTGATTGTTGGGGGTGTGTAAGGGAGAGATCTGGGTAAGGAGTTGGATTGCCAATTTTTCCACTCTGCTTTTCTTTTTTTATTGTTTAATTCAATAATGATTCTTAATGTTTCAATAACAAATCCCTAAACAGAAGAGGAACCACTTTGTGTAAATAATAAAGTGTTTCAAATGTGCTTTTAACACTTCTGCTCTCCTTGATGACAGATGTTTATGATGTTCCAGGAAAGAAAACATGTAAAGAAGAGACTGTGTAGCGTGAGTGGATGGCGCCTGTCTCTTTTGTTGCTGCGTTTTAAGAGGTAAGCTTTAAAGCCATGTCGCAACAGGCTTTCGTCCCCAGGGGGCCAGTTATTTGATGGATTTTTCCCTGGGTGGTGTTCCGTTTTTTTTTTTTACAGTAAAATTTCACTGTGGGGAAATCTGCTAAACCACAGAAGCTGTTTATATTAAGTGTGATATCCTGCAGCACACAATCTGTCACATATGTTTTGTTTTGTGTGTGTTGTGTATACCGTGTTTAGAATGGTTTTAGTCTTTTAAGAGCATGTCGATATTTTGACCTGATAAATTTCTTTTGTTTCCACATCATAAATTTGACTTGCTTTCTGTTTATTCAATAGATTCCAATAAACCTTTTTGTTAAGAATCATTTTTGGCAAGAGATTTTTCACAGAGTAGTATTCACAGGGATTTGCTTAAAACTTTTTATTTTTAAAAAGAAAAGGAAGGAACAAAGACACTGTGAAAATGCAGTATCCTGGGTGTAACATCGTATCACAGTCAGTAATTCTAAAACAGCTATAGTTATTAAAAAATTAATTTAAAGTCTTCTCACGTATCTAGAGAGGTTATCAACATAGTTTGCTAATTTTCTAAAATGTTACTTCAAGATAATTCTTCAGTTTTATAACCAAATATCAGTGTTTGACGTCATTCACTCATTCAAACTTTATCAGGAGCCTGAAAACACAGAAAAAAAAGCATCCGATTATTTTTTATGCATATTTGTTAAATTTTTTCGGGAACATTTATGAACGGTGCAAAGTTAATTAGTAAAGTGATTTATTGTTTGGTCACCTGGCTTGTTTGCACAGGTTTGTCCTGCTGCAGTTGCTGCAATGGATCCTGTGATGGCTGTGCATTGACATCAAAAGCTGGCATCTAAGAAAAAACAGATACATGTGAAGCAAAATGTGGAGAGACATTATAGAATGCATATTACTAATACTCTGTTCTCACATTCATTGGTTGCTGGGGAAATCCTTGAGGAGGAAATCTAAATGGGGGTAACTGAAAAAAAGTACATAAAATTTATGTTTATGATGTATTTTGAGAGTAATAGGAAAAATCGAATAATAAAAAAATCTATTACATTTCCCAGACTGGGCCCATTTGGCATAGGAGCAGAGTTCTGAATTATCTGAAACAAAAATAAATCTGCTTTTAGAATCGTGCACTGTACATATTATTAGGTCTGTAGGGATTCATTAAGTTAACCAAAATATTTACCTGGTTCTTAGCAAAGTCATAAGGGTAGAACTGCAAACATAAAACCACAAAACCACAAAAATGTTAATAGTCGCTCTGCATGCCACACATAATATAAAAAGTAACAAATCAGCACATACAACTTCAACGCTCTGTCTGCCAGGAGGCTGTGGGATGGAGTACTTGATGAAACCGTACTGAGGGAAGGTCTGTTGAAACAAATTTTTAAAAAAAGTTTTTTAAAAAAAGTTAAAGCAGTTGTTGTCATAGATTAGCGCATCTACATGCATGTGGAAAAACTCTTACTTGTCCTTGATTTGTTCCAGCTGCACCAGCACCAAACATGTATGGAAGCTTGGTAAAACACACAAAATACACATACATGCTGTAAGTAAAAATTTAATAATTTGTTTTGCAGTTAAATGGAAACATAACATTGGGACCTACAAACTCCACACTATAAACTCCTGCGCCTCCAGGTTGTGGGAATCCACCGGCAAAAGGTGGTTTCATCTGCATGAAAGTTGGGGAAAAAAAACTTTTACTGGTAAAAATGTAACTTTGATATTTATTTTCTAAAAATTCCATCAAGCATATAAGACAAAACTGAGGAGGAAGAGTCAGTATAATCTCTGCACATAGTATGCATGTTTACCTGTGTCGCTGGAGCCCGGGGTCTGGATCCTGTGTAGTGCGGCAAGTATTGAAACTACATGCAGAAACACAAACACTTAGAGAAATGACAGCAGGACATTTTGCGTGATCGTTTTAAAGTTTGTGCTGTTTAAAATAAAATCTAAGACTTACGGGCACAGCACAAGCAGTGCTAGCCAAACATAGACACAGGAAGACTGCTTTCATTTTCGCCCTGAAAACACAACATTCACTGTTGTAAAATCTACGAAAGTCAGACAGGATGGTTGGTTTCTGTTAGCCAGGTATACATGTACTCACCCACTGCAATAAAAACAAACCAGAGAGAGAAGATGAAATGTTGAACTCAGAGGATGATGCTAAATGATTTTGTTGTAGCTCAGAAGGAGCAAGTTGGACTTTTATAGGGTGTCCCTTCACCAAACAGTTAATTACAGTCGAGGGCAGTGAAGTCACCCAATGAGGGAGTGCAGATCAGGTGTCTGGCCCACAGCTTAACTAAATGACCAGTGGCCCAATCCACTATCTGAGTAATAGTAGAGTCAGTTTGATTACACAGTCGGAGGCTTAGCACCTTCACTCACCTCAACCTGCATTCAGTCATAGTGAGTGTTGGATTTCATAGTTTTATAGAAATCAATTTATTTTCACGTGATTTGGAATCACTATAAGTAAGATGTTGCAGAGTTGTTGCTCATGAGGTATGGACTTACAAATGAAGAAATCAGAATCCAGATAAAACGTCTGCAGTTTACATGGCAAATTGTGATGGATACAAGGTGTTCCAGCTGCACCTGACATGCACGTTAGTTTACACACAAACTTTAAATAGTGTTGCATAAATTTGTATTAGTGTGTTGTTTTATTTGTTCTGTGTATTTGGTTCCTAGAAAGAGACAAGATGCAAATGAAACAAAACATAAATAAGCTTTTTTTGTTATTATGCAACAGATGTATTTGTCATGTTTTTGTAGAACTCTGTTTATATTTTGACTTATAGAGATTTCTTTGCATTTCTTTTGTTTTCTTTATTTTTTTGTCAAAAAAGCCATATTTTGTTGATCCTGATATTTATCCAAGGGATAAATAGTATTAAGCACCATATATATAACTGGTGCCATATTTTACTATATGGCACTATTAATGCTCTAGAATATTTATTCTGGAGCAATAATTTGATTGGTTGCAGAGCTGCTTCTAGCTAACATTCCTACTCCTTATTAACCGGAAACACACTTTTATGACATTTTATCAATCAGCAGTGTCGTTTATGAGATACAACTATGGAAGAAGGTTTACAGCGAAAGGTTTTATGAGAGGCAAGTTGTTTACCATGAGAATGGAAGACCGGTTTAGTCAAAACATGTAAAATATGTCTCTATGTTCTCTAAATTCCTAAAATATATTATGTAATGTAGTATATGGTGTCCAGATACAGTTTAATATCTACAATGCGATCTGAACACAAAACATTTGCTAAAAATGAATCTCATCAAACAAAAATTCTGTTTTATTCAAACTATATAAAACAATCTGTTGGCCAATTCTTAAAAAAATCAAGGTTGTTACATACAAAAACCTTTTTAAATGAAAGACTTAAGAACTTATTGACACTATTACTTATTTTCTCGTATGTAGTTATTTGTTGAAGACAAAACAACAGAAGGATACTGATTAATGCATTCATTTCATTTATTATCTGAGCTTCCCAATAGAAAGATCCCAAAGAGAAATATTAGAAAATAGGACAATCATATTTCACAGCAAACCACTAATTTGCATTTCATCACATTATTTCTTTTTTTTTTTTTTTGTGGAAGAAAACAAAGCACCATCTGGACTGGACCGACGTCCATAATGTGTAGCACCAAATTTGTGAGAGGCTTTAAAGAGCAGCATTGTTGTCTGGTTTCTATTCCTCTGAGCTGATTCCCAGTTTTCTCATCTTAAAAGAAAAAAGAAACAAACTAAGTCAGCTGTGAAAATGAAACTTATGACACAAACATTTCATTTAGAGTTCATTGTATAAACTGTCTTTTCCTTTCTGAAGTTGTGAGTGCCTGTGTGTATCATACCTCTTTCTGCACACATGAGCACAACTGCTGCTGACTCAGATCTTTTTAGTCATCTTCCTCATCATCATCACTGGGTTTGGCAACCTGAAATCACAGAGGCTTGACGTGAGCCAATCAGTAGGGAGGATGAGCCAATGCTTCTAGAAAGCTCAGCAAAAATGGGCTCTTTTTTTCCAAGCAAGAATAATTCAGTTGAATGAACGTGCACACCTCTCCATCTCTTTAAAAATGTCTTCTGCTGCTGTTATCAAGTGATATGAAACCATTCAGATGTAATGTCAATATAGAAAACTGAAATAGCTCTTACAGGTACAGCGGCAATAACAACAGGAGCAACTGGTGCTACAGGAGCAGCAGGGGCAGCTGGAGCAGCAGGAGCAGCAGGGGCAGCAGGGGCAGCAGGGGCAGCTGCAACTGGCTGGTCAAACCCAAAGGGGTAGTACTGAAACAGACGGAGATGAAATTAGATGAGTACGACGACAAACATTCTGCAACAACTTTCAGTCAGGAAGATGTTAAATGCACTTACAATCTCATCGTCTTTGCCATCTGCCCGGTGGATCTCCTGCTTGATGAATCCTTGGACCTTCCAGAGAAAATTCATGTCGGGATCAATATGTGCAGTTAAGCCACAGCAATGCAACTACAGCCAAACTTTTACTTAGATTTTTGTTCAAGACTTCTTTTCCTCCACAATTTTAACTACACAGTACAAATGTGGCTCTGTTAAAAGCCAGCTTTAAATTGTCACTTACTGGTCCTCCAACATATTGCCTTTGGTTGTTAACTGGGAGCAGCTGAAATTGGAAATAGCCACAATTATCACAAAAAAGAGTAATTGCCGGGTATAAATGTGTTTTGAAAGGATGAAATAAAAACATGCTGTTCTTACAACTTCCAGGGACCCCACTGGGGCTCCAGCAGGGATCGCTGCTGCCGCCTGTGAAGAATAGATCCACAATATTAACCTTCACATCACTGGGCCATTTAGAAGGGAAGGAAAAACTATACTGCACTTCCTGCACGACGTTTTCGTTGTTGTTTTTACCTGAGGAGGGGCATGGTGGAGGTCAAACTCCATGTACATCTGAGGCTGTTTTGTGGGAAATTTATACACACATTTATACAGGCTTGTTACTATGCAAATCAAAAATAGTTGAGCTAAAATGCTTTAAAAAAAAGTAATTTAGACATTAGCTAGAAAATTATCGAAAATCATTCCTCTAAGAAAAGATAATGCTTTGTGTTGTTGGATTCTTAGTTGCTTGTGCTGCAAAGGTTTTAATATCAAAAATGCAATACAAATTTGAGGAACAAATGTGAGTTTCCCTTACAGGAGCACTGAAAGCCATCCCAATTATGCAGGCTGCAAGCAGAATGAGCTTCATTTTGAATTAAGCTGTGGAAACAATTATTTCTGGATTATTACATGCTGGTATATTCAGTACAGATCTTTTAAAAGGACAAAATATAGACATCATGCAACAAATCCTTCAGTAATTCTATTTCAATTTAAGAGATTTACCTTTTCTGTCTGTCCACTAGTGAGTACAGAAGTATTCTTGAAGAAGGATGTGTGATGCGCAGAGGGAGATCTGCTCCTATTTATTTGCTGACAAAACAAAGATCTTTCAAACTTTTGACAGGCATTGGTCATAAGCCAAAGAGTTTTAATTTTATGATCAAATCACTGACAGTTCTGTCTCTGGGAGAAACCCCTTTAACACATTTTTGGCTTGAAGCAGACATTTATGACATATGATCCTTCAGCAGAGTAATTTATGAGGTACAGAAGTGCAAGAACCCAATAAACTCAAGCCCCAAGTGTGAAAATATGATTCTAATATGGAAAGAATTTTATTATTCTTAAATATCACTGTATTTTTTGGTCAAAAACTAATGAAAATTGTTGACAATGATACAATAACTGCAAAGAAAATCATTGCAAATAAATTGTTGAGTCTTTAAAGATTATAAAAACCCAGATGACCCAGAGAGAACTCACACATGCTTGGAGAGAACAAGCAAAATCTCGGCACCAAGAGACCAGGATTAGACCCTACGACCTTTGACACTTGGTTCATTGAGGAAAGCATGTGTTTTCTATCAGACTAATTTATCCACAGGCTCAAGTCTACGCAACCACAATATAAGTATGTCACTCAATAAAGGCTGTAGAAGATATGCATTTATGATGAGCATGCCCATCAATGCTCATCTCATTCATCTGTCCACTTTATCTGTTTTGGATTATTCAGAGCTGAGGATTATACTGACAGTAAATGGGCAACAAGTTATGGAAATCCCAGACAGGTCCATTGCTCAGTTGTGTTGGGTTATTTTTCCAAACAAGTCAACACACACATTGAAATTCACTCCTACGGTAAATTTCTAGTTGCAAAATAAGCTAATTTGTTTGGTTTCACACTATGGGGGAGACCACAATATCTGGGACAAACTAATAGACATGCAGGAAGATCATGAAATTCCACACGGGTTTAACCGCCAACCAGGACTGGAACCGAAGGAAGACTTGAGGTGAGGCCCAATGAGGGTAAATGTCCTATCATCCACTAACAAATAGGTGTGTAATGATACATTCAGCTCACAAAATGAGACAAAAGATGAAACTGGGTTAACAAAAATGAGACATCAATTTTCATTAGCCAAGAAGCAATTTGCTCTGCCACTTTCAAGTAGCATTTAGTTTGATCACTTAAATTTACAATACCTTACAAATGTATAATTTTGTCTCATTTCAGTCAAAAACTTTAATTGGTTCGACTGAGATTTTAAATGAAGCACAAACGCAAGTAGCGCACAACTGGAACATTAAAGGAAAGTAATGCACGGTTTGCACATTGTTTAATGTGTAAACCATTTAACAACTGAGAAGGTGTGTATTCCTCAATTTACTTTGGGACACCCAAATGAAAATGCAACAAGGCCTCACAGCTTTGTTAGAAAACATCAGTGACAAAGCATCATAAGAATAGAAAATTCACCAGCGATAAAGATGTTGATAAAGATGAGTTAGCTCATGAGAAAACCTTTTGACATCTCACAGAATCCAGTAAGAACATTTATCCTTTTTCTCTTTCAGAAATAGGGTCTGCCTCGATAATGTACTCTCCCAGGAAAATAAATAGAAGTTTTGTGATTCTAACAAAACAAGTTGTTAGTAAGTCAGGAAAAGTCCTCAAATCTAGTTACCTAATAAAACTCCAGGCTCTTAATTCCACAGACAAAACTTTTTTTTTACAGAAAATCCTATAAAAACCATCTGTCACCCTTCTGCCAAGCACCAGGCACAATCTGTATTAACAGCTTGCTACTGACTGAGGGAAGGAGTTAAAGAAAGACCTTTTCTTTTCTTTTCTTTTCTTTTCAAAAAAGAGGCAAACACCTGAAGATACAAGAGTAAATATAGGACTCCATCTAAAGAACAATCTGTTTTTTAAGACTTCCTGTGAATTTTGCAATATGTGGAAGTAGTATTGGTGTTCACCCAATCAAATTATGACATAATGATGTAATGCTGAAACTAAATGAAAACATACTGATGAAATAGTAGCACACAGGACAGCATTGAAACAGATTCAGTCTCTGATTGTCTTCTTTATTTGAAATTACATATAAAAACACCATACTGAAGCCCAAAAATACCAACAATGGTTAGGCATATTCGAAAGACACCCTAGTGATAAATTGCTAGCCTTTTATTTTGCAGTTGATATTTTGAAACGTCATAAGTAAGTTTTAGTAGCTGCTGCAGTTTTAAGCCAGGTTTCTCTGTGTGGGCCTGAGTTTGGGTTGATCCGAAGGTCAGTCTGTGGGAGTTTCAGGCACTGCTCTCTTCAGACCTGCATGCGGGTTGTTAACCTTCCGCTGTGATCCAGAGCAAGGTCGACCCTGTAATGGTTGGGCTCCAGAAACTGAGGTCCCTGCAGTTTGTCCAGCAGCCCATTGGTCTGGGTTTGCTATTCCAGCAAACTGACTCTGCGCCTGAACTGCTGCTGCTCCAGCAGGAAGGTTCGCAAGCATGGGGGGCATAAACATACCCAGCTGGCTCAGTTTTGCTGCTGTCTGAAACAGAGAATAATGTATAGATAATATGAGACATATGGAAGGAGAAGCAATTTTAGGATTTGGGATCATCAAGTTCACTGAAACAAAGTGTTTGCACACGTTGAGAGTCAGACAAAAATCTTGGCTGATTTACCTCCAGTTCCTCAGAGCTAAGACCTCCGAGTGAGGGATTCTAGAAAGCAATGACAGCTCATGTGAGATGAAAAATGACCTGGCAAAAATTGTGAAGCAACAAAGACTGTTTCATCATCCAAGCATAAAAACACCAATTCATATCTACCATGGGTTGCTGGAGCATGTACACGACTGGGGGATTCTGTGAAAGAGAGTTTGACAGTTTGATCATGCAGTTCCACTTTTAACTTCCAATAAAGTCAGTATTTATTACTCCATGGGATCAGTCATGTCAAATTAAGGTACCTGTTGTTGTGTCTGTTGAGCTGCAGCTACGGGGGGTGCCGCTGCCCCTGCAGCATTTTCTGCTGGCAGCACAGGACCGTTGGTGAGCTGATTTATTGGAGTTTGAGGGAGGGGAGACTCAGAAACCTTAGGGAATCCATATGGGGAGAACTTTGCAGGAGAGAAAATGCATGCAATATTTAATTTGTGTTCATGACTTGTGCACTGAGTGCACAAAGACCTGAACATTACTACATTACTCTGAATTAGGAGGTAAAATAATCAGCACTTGCAGCATTAAAATGTTAGTTACTGTCTCTGCATCGTAAATCAACCAGTAATTATGTTTAGAGACAGATGTCTGTATTTGCACAACACTGTCTCCGGTGAGAGAGTTTGAGGTTGTCTCTGGTTTCTTTTGAGAGGACTTGAAAGAGGGGGGGGGGAACTTTCATTAAACTGTTGAAAACTGTTCAAGACACCCACAGGGGGAATCTTTCAAGTTAAAGTAGGTTGTGCTGGGAATTTTTTTCTGAACTTCGATCTATGGTGAGCACATGCAATACTTTAAACTACGTGTGGGATATTGCTGAAGGCACAACTTGTGTGTTTGGTAATAATATCTTACCAGCTGATTGCTATAGGGTGAGGGGAAAACAGGCATGAATCCATACGATGGAAAAATCTAGTTAGAAAAATGGAAAGAACACAAACACCATTGGGATTTATTGTTTTAAAATTACAAGGCGGAAAATCAGAAACCTTCTTCAATCTAAATTGTATTGTAAGCGTTCTTATTTCTTACCAGAGGCTGCTGAGTCAGGCTCAGCTGGTTAGGTGGTAGAAATCCAGCAACATTTCCAGGAAGAGGGAACATCACTGGGCTGCCCCCTTGTGGAAACAATGCATAATGCTGTAATGAATGTTGGTTGTTTGTCTGTTGTTGGTTGTTGGCCTGTTGATCCGGCTGCTGGGGATTTCCAGGCTGTGGTTGGTCCAAGCTGTGAGGAAGAGATGGCTCCATCTGACCCTCAGGTTTCCTGATTGTGGCATCAACAGGTTGACTTCCATGATTGACTTCCTTCTGTGACTGCTGCAGAGGACGAGTACTTGGATTAACCTGTCAAAGAAAATAATTAGATGTAGCATGTTTAATTAAGCTTTTGATAATAAGCTAGCATTTTATTATTACCATTATTATTTCTTACCGGTGTTGCAGTTACTATTATGGCCAAACATGGAAGCAGAAATATGATGAACATTTTTACGAACAAAGCAAGGCCACTATTGTTCTCAGTTCTTCCCTTTCAGTCACTGGAAGCGTTTGAGTAATGTCACCATGGAGCCAAATAAATTGACTGAAAGTGAAAGGACAGGAGCAGACACTTATGTGTCTGTCAGAAGCTGAAATGACCAATCACAGCACAGAAAGAAAAGCTCAAAATCCACCTAATTATTTCCTGTGAATGAAGCAGTGAGCTGGAAACCACACACATTCTCCTGAATGAACTGAATTGCAAGTTTTCTTTCAATTATGATGGTGTAACGTCTGTAGAAATGTATAAACAACCAGTGAAGAGTTCAGACAGTGTTGCTTCCTGATACTCAGGACACCTTAGGGTGTGGCTGATGTCACTGTCTGACTGCTGCAATTATTCTTAATTATGTATGTTATATGTGTGACATGCGCAAAAAAGCATGACAATAGTTAGCTTTTCTGAAGTTGCTTAAGGAGGATGAATTACGGCTGACTCATCCAAATCCAATTCTGAATTCATTCTGAGGTGTATGGACTTTCGAATTCCTGTAAAGTGTGGATGAGCCAATTCAGTGATTGCAAGAACACTCAAAAGCATTAAGTTTTAAATTCATGTCTTTGAAGTAGAATTGATGAAAACCTGAAGTATCGCTGTACATTAAACACAAAAATTGTGTATATTTAATGCCATTTTAATATTAGAATCACATTATACCACATCACCCTTAAAGAACAAAATAAATTGAAATTTGTATTTCTGTTTATGGAACAAATCTGTCCAAAGAAACCAAAGAGAGTGGATCAATATCGACTTTTTATAAAAATAAAATATAATGGTCTATCATTATATTTGAAGTATAGTGAAACAGTATAGTGCTGTGTCATTACAAAAATATTCATTTTTTCTTTTTTTATTATTAATTTTATATATTCACATTGCCTGTTTTGTGTTTAATATGGACAGCTGATTGATGTTTGCTGCTTATGGTTTAGTGAATTGACTTTTTAGAGAAGAGGTGGGCTGCACAATATGTTTCATTCAAAATTATTGTTCATGTCAACGGTGAAATATTCATTTAAATTACATAAACAAACAAATAAATGGGAAACACAACTGCCAAAATATGACAGTCATGATGTCCTGGACATTATGAAAAGTTGAAAGTGAATCTTCTCAGGCTCCTCTTATGATCTTCTAGTGTGTTTTTGTTTTAGCTACGATTGGAAAGGGGAAACTGTGATTGACTCAGTGTGTATAATCAGGAACTGCTTGTGTTTCTGTAAATCTGTGGAAAACACCATTTGCTGTTGATGTGGCTCCCATAGCGGAGAACATGGAGCTTCTTAAACTTGTTGTAATCAGTGAGATCATTGAGAAATATAAGAAAGCTTTCACAAGATATGTTCACATTCTCATATTAAAACTGTAACTAAATTTGATCTTTGCAAATCTCTTGTTCATTTTATTTGATTGTATTAGAACCATAACACTTCACCTGCAGCACACAAAAGATCAGTCAGTACAGTCATAATTAGAAAAAAATATATATGAGTTCAGAAAAATAATGAAGATTTTTAAAAAAGTATAGCAAAAAAGTACATTCAAAATCAAGATTTTTGATAATACAGTGTTGAGGCACATCAAATTACATCAAACATAAAGTAATTGATTAGAAAAAAACATAAAATATTTCAGTCAAAGTCTTTGGAATCTGCAGTGCAGAAGAATGAATCAAAAAGGGTGATTCAGGAGCGCAATACGACAGACTTGGCAGAGTCTGGCTTTTAGCAGCTTACGCTCGTCCCTTTTCTTAAGCAGTCAGCATTCAGGCTTGTCTGTGTGAGTTTACTGAGTGGATGTTACACTGGTGAGTTGTCAGAGTCTGCTCTTTGGTGGGACCAGTCTCCCTATGATGCTTTTCGATTCTGGTTTTGCCAATGGCCTCACCAAAACAAAGCACCATTTTATTGATCTTATTGCAAATCAAAGTAAATACATTTTTCCCATCTTGCTAAATATTCCTCATGTTGGATTCATTTTAGAGGCTGTAGCTTATGGATTGTCTCCTCTGGGGGTGACTGGAACCGTGGTTGCCTTTGTTGTTGTTGTTGTTGTGGCGGTAGTTGTTGTCGTGGTCTTTTGGGAACACAGAGTCGGAAACAGAGTGCAGATAAGTGAAGGCAGGTTTATTGAGGTCTAATGAAGCAAAAACACACAGAGAAAAAAATCAGGAAAGAAAATTAGACAATACTGATACTGAAAATGTTCAAAATAAAAAGCTATTTTCATTAATATTAATTACCTCTACACTGTCCGACTCACTGCTAGAACTGTGTTTACCATGGCACCTCTTCAAAATTCACATGGAGAAGAATTATTACACTTTAGCATTTTACAGAAAAATGTTCAATAATTTCCACAATTTCAAGTAAACAAAACAGTGCTGAACAATTTTGTACTTACGGTTGCTTGGGCACTGATGCAAAGAATAATCATCAGAAAACACACAATCCTGGACTTCATGCTGTCTTAGTTTCCGTATCACAGTCGGGCTCAAGAATAAAAAGCTTAATGATGAATAAAAGATCACGCTCATCAACTCAGTCTGCATATGGGTGCCTTGAGAAACCCAATTAGCTTTTAAACAGCTCTGCTGTGTCGACATTGCCCGCCAACTTCACAGGTGTTACCTCATCTCTCATCAGCCTCAAGCAAAGCCAACAGAGGTGTGAAAACAATTTCGGCTTTTGGGTTGGGCTGGGTTTTCATAAGATTAAATGTCCACATCCTGAGTGGATGTGTGAGAATGTGCACAAACACAGGCAGATAAAATCTATCTTCAAATAAATGTTTCAGGTTTGAACGTTTAATGTTTGCATAAGAAGAACTTTTTTTTTCTTTTTTGTTTTATCAAAGATTTCTTTGTTTCTTTTAAAATCTGGAGCCGCTCATTTCTTTCATAACGACTCCATACTTGCGAAACAGTTGTGTTTGTTGCTTAGTGCTTCCTGAAAACAGTTCTTGCTCCATTCTTCCCTAACATTATAATTATCTTGTTTATGGATGTACACATGGTGGACTTAGTCTGTATTTTTTTCTGTTGCAGGTAATAAATATGACACTGTTGCAAATGTTTCTGGGAATTTTTAGTCCGAGAGGGTCTCATTACTCTGGCGTAATAATATCTATCATGACATATTTGAACCCCTTAAAGTAAAGTCAGAGTTTTTAAATTGCCTGCACAGGTTTATGGTTTGAAGTATGTAAGATAATGCATGGGTGTTAAGTTGTTTTATCTTTTTTTTTTTTTTTTTTTTTTACAAAATGTTAAACCTGACTCGACCTGAATGTGTAGAATATTTTCTCTCAACTGGAAAGCTGTGGGGTCAATTCCATCCTCCTCCTGCTATATGTTGATGTGCTTCTGAGCAAAGCAAAATATTTTGGTATAAAGGGCTTTGCGTTATTAGTATGACTAGAACAGCACTGTTCAAACTCAATCAATATACCTTTTATCTACACTAAGTTTTGACACACTTACCACCAATCTTTTTACTACTTTATGAATGACTTATTAAATGTGACTTTTGTACTTTGTAACTTATTTTCTTTGTAATATTGCAGACATAAGGCTGCCATCTGTTCTCTTTTTTTTTTCCGAAGAGTTTTTTTTAGCTTTTTTTTGGCTCGCATTTTTTGACAGTAGACTGACAGGAAAGAGGACAAGACATGGCAATGGTCGCCGGGCCCGGGAGTCAAACCCACGATGTCCGCGTCGGGGACTGAGGCCTCCAAATGTGGTGTTGGGTGCTGACCCCCTGAACCACCACAGCACGCCCCTGCTATCTGTTTTCTTGATGCTTAAAACATCCTTGAATTTAAACACACCAAACCAGCCAACTTTGGATGGTTGCACTTTCATGAGAACCTTAAAATTATATGTATTTTTAGTTGTTCTTCAAATGTAACTCAACTTTCTATCATAAAATTAAAGAAGATGTATGTTTTAAAGCTTTTGTTCCAATTTGAATTACATATTACATGATAAATGACATTTGTTCAATGTTATTTAATTTTATTCCTTAGCAAACTTCTTCAGAATAAAGAACAAAACAATGTGGAAACAATAAAGTGCCTTGTAAATATTTTTAAATATATATATATATTTACCAACACACACAGAACATGATGGTGGAGAGAGACAGACAATAGACAGTTTTCAAAATATTTTACAAGTAAAGATGATCCGCTTCCCTGGCCTTGGTGAAGAAAAGCATTCCCAAAGCATGATGGGACAATTTTTATTACTCACCACTAGGCTGTTATTCTATAATATAATATATACGGAGATAAATTATACTACTGCTGCTGAAATGCATAGATCGAAAATTTGAACACGATATACCACAATGATGCACTACACACAGTAAAGTACACTGGATTTGGAGTTTGGTCCTCAAAAAAAAAGAAAGATAAGAAATATAAAATGGACACTGTTTAGCTAAATTAGACAAAACTAAACCTAAAAATGTTATATATATATATATATATATATATATATAATATATTTTTATATATATATATATATATATATATATATATATATATATATATATATATATATATATATATATATATATATATATATATATATATATATATATATATATTCTTTGGCACTTTGGCAGCCCAAATGAACCAGCTGCTACAAAGTGGGACTCACCCTGAATGGTTAACTGAAGGGCGGACAATCCTAATCCAGAAGGATCCATCAAAGGGTCCAGTCCCACCCAACTACCGACCAATAACCTGCCTCTCCACAACCTGGAAGCTCATGTCAGGCATCATAGCGGCCAAGATAAGCAAACACATGGATAAACACATGAGCACGGCACAGAAGGGTATCGGTGTAAATACCAGAGGAGCCAAACACCAACTCCTCGTAGACCGCACAGTTGCCCGAGACTGCAAAACCCGACACACCAACCCTGTGCATGGCTTGGATCGATTACAAGAAAGCCTATGACTCAATGCCGCATACTTGGATCATTGAATGCCTAGAGATGTATAACATCAACAGGATTCTGAGAGCCTTCATTGCAAACTCGATGAGGCTGTGGAAAACCACCCTTGAAGCCAACTGCAAACCACTTGCACAAGTGTCCATCAAATGTGGCATATACCAAGGAGATGCTCTGTCCCCGCTACTGTTCTGCATAGGCCTGAACCCCCTCAGCCAAATTATCAACAAGACTGGCTACGGATACCGACTCAAAAATGGGGCCAACATCAGTCACCTCCTCTACATGGATGACATCAAGCTGTATGCCAAGAGTGAGCGAGACATCGACTCACTGATCCACACCACCAGGATCTACAGCACTGACATTGGAATGTCATTCGGACTAGAGAAATGTGGTCGGCTGATCACAAAGAGGGGGAAGGTGATCCACACAGAAGGAGTCTCACTCCCACAAGGAACAATAGCAGACATAGAGGACAGTTACAAGTACCTAGGTATACCACAAGCAAATGGCAACCTCGATGAGACCACAAGGAAAGGAGCCACAGCTAAATACCTCCAACGACTAAGGCAAGTCCTGAGAAGCCAGCTCAATGGCAAGAACAAAATCCGTGCAATAAACAGCTATGCCCTGCCAGTAATCAGATACCCTGCTGGAATAATCAGCTGGCCAAAGGAGGAGATAAAAGCCACAGATATTAAGACTAGAAAGCTACTAACCATGCATGGAGGGTTCCATCCCAAATCCAGCACCCTGAGACTGTACACGAGCCGCAAGGACGGAGGCAGAGGACTAGTGAGTGTGAGAACCACTGTCCAGGACGAAACAACTAAGATCCATAAATACATCAGGGACAAAGCCTCAACAGACAATGTGCTCAGTGAATGTCTCAGACAACAGGGAACGGAGGTTGAGGTGCCAGAGATACCATCATGGGAGGACAAGCCCCTACATGGGATGTACCACCAGCAAATAACCCAAGTGGCTGATATCAGTAAATCCTACCAATGGCTGGAAAAAGCTGGACTCAAGGACAGCACAGAGGCCCTCATCCTGGCCGCCCAGGAACAGGCCCTAAACACCAGAGCAATAGAGGCCCAGATCTACCACACCAGACAAGACCCAAGGTGTAGGTTGTGCAAGGAGGCCCCTGAGACAGTCCAGCACATCACAGGGTGCAAGATACTGGCAGGGAAAGCGTACATGGAGCGACATAACCAAGTGGCAGGCATAGTGTACAGAAAATCTGTGCAGAATATGGACTGGAAACCCCGAGATCAAAGTGGGAAACACCCCCAAAGGTGGTGGAGAACACCAGAGCTAAGATCCTGTGGGACTTCCAGATCCAGACAGACAGAATGGTAATGGCGAACCAACCTGACATTGTCGTAGTGGATAAACATCAGAGGAAAGCCGTTGTGGTAGATGTAGCAATACCAAGTGATTGCAACATCAGGAAAAAGGAGCACGAGAAACTGGAGAAATACCAGGGCCTCAGGGAGGAACTGGAGAGGGCCTGGAAGGTGAAGACCACAGTGGTGCCTGTGGTCATGGGGGCCCTCGGGGCAGTAACCCCCAAACTGGAGCAGTGGCTACAACAGATCCCAGGAACAACATCAGACATCTCAGTCCAGAAATGTGCAGCCAAAATACTGCAGGACCCTCAAGCTCCCAGGCCTCTGGTAGAGGACCCGAGCTCAGAGGATAAGAACCACCCGCGGTGGGTGAGAAGCGAATTTTTTTTTTTTTTTCTGAAAATATTAAAACCATAAAAATATTCTGAAAATATTAAAACCATATGTGAAACAGATTTATTTGTTCTGCACCAATGCATAGTAATGTCCTGATGTAATGTATAATTTACAGGGAATTTATGCAAAGAAACTATTCTAAAACTTAATATATATAGAAGATGCGGCATGTTAAAGTATTTTGATTTTTAAAATATCTTGGAATTATTAAAAAGATAAAATGAAAACATGAAAAAGCTGTAATGAGGTGTTGGGTTAAGTTATCTGTAAGACATCTGAATATCTGACCATTATCTAAAAACAATCAATAAAACATAATTAAATAAAGGCGCTTATAAACTTTATTGACAACAAAGTGACTGAATTTTAAATCTCAATAAGTAAATGTATGTGTTTACACACATAAACAAAGCAAAAGAAAGATTAAGACAATATTTTTTTGACAAGTCACTCTGTGTCATCATTATTATTCTCATAAAAGCTCTCTAAATCTACTTTAATATACACCTCAGTCACAAAACTTAGTGATGTTGAAAATCAGCTGCTGTGTCTCCTGCGGTGCACCAACAATAAGCTGTAACTGTTGTAATCACTGGTTCTTTCAGCAGGTTTTCACAATGTTATTCAGACACATAAATATATGTAAACCTGAATGTTATTAGTGATATTTGTCCACAATTTAATAACTTAAAATCACTAATTCTCAGCCACACCTTGACGCATAGGGAAACTGCAATCACAGTTTTGCAACATTTCTGCATCAGTAAAGGTATAAAAGAGAAGCTCAACATCCAAAGAGCAACACTACATCCTCTTCTGTTGTCTCTCAGAAAACCTACTGAAGGTGTGATGACTTCTTGACTTATTTAGATTATGGTTTTGGTATTCACACAGTGAATTTCTTCAATGCTATATTCCACTAACTTGTCCTTGAACAAGTTGTTCAGAAACTAATTTTGATCTTCTGTTCTAACAGGTAAAATCACTGCAACCATGCTGAAGGTAGCTCTTGTTCTTGGATGCCTCCTGAGCCTCATTGTGGCTGAGCCTGTAAGTACAATATTATTATGTTTAATAAGATATCAGTGAGTTAATACTGTATGTAGACATTATTACTATTATTGTGAAAATGTTTACTGCATGTAATGTCAAACCCTGTGCAGATGGAGCACCAGCGTTTTGCGCGTTCAGGCTCTGGTTCTGACTCAGATGAGGTGAGTGTCCTCTCTGCCTAACTGCTAACTGCTCAGTTACTGTATCAGTAATGTAAAAATCCTCTGCTACTTGTAACCTCCCTTCAATTTCTTGAAGACCACCACAACTACGACCAGAGCAGGAACTACCACAACAGCAACTTCATTGACTCTGGCCCAGATCCTGGCCCTGCTCCGACAACTACTCAATCAGTAATGATGAAGTGAGTGAAAAACACAGAAAAACTGTTTTTTGACAATACTGCTGTATATAATCATTGATATTTAACTGTTTTTATCAAGTTGTTGAGTTTTACAGAGAATCTATAACAGTATTATTATTTCATCTCATTTCAGGTTCAGTGGCTGCTGTTTTAACCAGATGGCTTCTATTCACTCAACAATTGGACAAATATCATTCTTCACCAAGTGTTGAATAAAAATAAACATGTTCAGTGCAAACTTTTGCTATGGTGTCTTTCATTATATTTTGCAATTCACCATCCAGACATGCATGCTTATTGTAAGAGCAATAGCAAAATTATGTTGAAGAACTTTACCTAACTTTAGTAATCTATATTGATAAAGGCTTATTTATATCTGGAAGTTGAATGCCTTGATTTATTCAGAAATCTAGAATTATTTTATATATTTATATTTTGATAAATTTATGTTTTGTGCTGAAGTACATCATTTATTTAAACTGTCAAATTCACCCATCAAACTCAGAAAGTGGGATTATAGCTGCGCCTATATTCCCAGATATCTGATTGGCTGACTGAGACGGTTTCTTCCTGGTTACTATGAGCAGAGGCGCATAATAGGGGGAAAACTATGACAATTCTAAGGGCCCCTGACCAACAGGGGGCCCTTCACAATTTATTTATTTATCCTTTGTTCATAGAAATAAAAATAAAAAAAGTGGCCCTGTCAATTGTAATATTAATCATGTTGCATGTTCAAAGATTGTTTTCAGCAGTGAAAATGTAATGTTCCCACTCCCAGACCAAAAGACACACATCCTTATTTGCCCTAAACACGCCCTGCATGATCTGCATGAAATGTTTTGTTCCTGCTTGGAGCCCTTGATGGTGACGGTGTTCAGCAGCAGACTGTGGAAAACACGAACCACTGTGGCAGTTACTCTGCAGCTAAGAAAAACAATAAAGTCAGGTTTTCAAAAAATAAAAAATAAAAATATAGAAAGAGGGAGAGAGAGAAAAAGGTAAGAGTGTAAATTTATAACCCAGTTTTTCTCCAAGAGAGGTGGGAAGACTGTGAGATCATCAACCATTTAGCATAATTAGCTTAGCTACAGATTATTTGGTAATATATTACCAAATATATGCTATTATGTCTGGTAATATATTACCAATATGTTAACTTGTCCCTTGTACCTTTCACAAGACAAGTTTTAAAAGGTACAACTCGTCTTAACAATAGATGAGTCAGTCAGCAGCAGCTCTAGCCCCCCTCCCTCCTGACCCATTCTGTCCTGAGTGAAATTAAGGCTTCAGTATGTAACTTTTATCATTTTTAATTTGTTCACATATTTGTTAGAACTGTCATTATGTTGTGACAGTATAATATGAGAAATCATCTGTGAAAAATCTATTTCCTCTGCTTTCTCAAAGTGCTTGAATCGACCAGTCATTGGCAGGACAGTTTTAGTGCTGTCAATCACCACCTGATGTGGCTGCTCATCCTTCCTCCCCCTCGCTCTGTGCTATGCAGCAGTTAGCATAGCTACCAGTGACGGCAGTTGAACAATTTTCCTTGTCATTCACATTTGACAATGGAATTTTAAAAAGCATTACCCAGTTGTTAATGCTTTGAATGTAACGTCCAGCTGCTGTTGAGTTACATAGATTCAGACACATAAAGAATAAAGGTTCAGGAAATATTGTTGGGGGACTGTCCCCTTCATGCCAGAGTTGGCGGGGACATGTCTACACCAGTCCTTCAGGACGTTACGCCTTTGGTAATGTCTCCTGTAATTGAAATTTGTCTTCAATAAAAGTGTGCCCAGTGGGTGTGAAAAAAGTCAATTAACTCACTTTTCATTCACAAACACATTGAGACCGTGTGCATTCAACTTGTATTTTATTGAGGAAACAGCATGAAGAACCAGGAAATGTTATTTGACAAATTTAGCGGGGAGAGAACATTCTTTACACCGTGGTGTTAGGAGCTGGGGTGGTAATAGCTGCTGTGGTAGTTGTAGGAGCAGCAGTAGTAGTGGTGGTGGTGGAACTGTTGCGCAGAATATCAAAAAGCTGCCGAAGGACATCCTCAGTGATACAAGGATGGCTAGGTTTGCCATGAGGAGGACCATGGCCCTAAAACACAAATCAAGGTCAGGTTTATTCAAGATTGAGGAAACAGATTCTAGGTTGGTAACAGTTCTTGTCTACTCCAGTAAAATTAGTACAATAAACTTACTCCATGAGAATGACGCCCAGGTGAGCGCTCCTCCCGGCTGGATCCCGATTCATCCTGTTAAAAACGACAAGAAAAAAATATTTACAGTTTTTCAGTAGTGGCTGCACCGACTAAAAGAACATTGATTCAGTCTTTTTTTTCAATATCACACTTACGGAATGAGCCAGAGTGAGACACAGGAGGCATCCCAGCACAAACAGTACCTTCAGCATTGTTTCACTGTTTACCTGCCAAAATAAGAAAATAATAATAATTTTAAGATTACTATGAGTAAAAAAAACAAACAAAAAAAAGCAGAAACATGAAGGCACTGAGTTAATGTATGACAGAAAATTCAAATAGAAAACAAAATGAATAATTATAAAAGAAATTTGCAATTACAGTTGTCTCTTCACAATCTGTCCCAGAGAAGGTCAAGGGAAATCTGATGGTGTGTTGGTTGGTAGAGCTTTTTATACACATGCAGATGGGTGGATTTAATATCCCAAACATATCAGGCTGTTGGGAAATTATAATTCTTTGGGAACTGCTCAATATTTCAAGTACGTAAGTGGAAATGTTAGGAAATGGGTGAAACAATAGTGCTTTAGAAGATCAACAAAGGGTTGGGCACAATCGACTGAATTAAAAAAAAACGTGATTGGCTTAGTGGGTAAAATATTAAATAATCTACTAAATGAGTTAAGAGAAACGCAAAAAATTAACTGTGATATGTTGTCTTATATTTTACAGAAGAAAAAAGCACCAAAAATGCTTTGCTGAAATAAAACTTGATAAAGTTAAAAGTTTTTTTTTTTTTTTTTTTGTAAAAGGTACTTAGGGAAAAAAACTTCAATATTCCCAAAACTCTTGCTTTATGTAATTTTTTTGAACATTTCAAAATCAAGCCAAAGATCAGTGTTATGTTGTGTTTTTAGGTTTGTCAGTTTTTTCAAGTTCTAATTTTCTGAGTGTTTTTGTGTGGACAGAACATAAAAACTCTGAAATTCTGAATTATTATTATATATTTTTTTCAAATATTTCACTTTTTGAATATCGATCAGAACTTTTTGATATTAATCACATTATTTGTCCCTCATTTTTTTCCTCAGTTAATGTTATGTGTCTACATATATTATACACTTATATCGAAGAATGTAGTGTGTAGAATTTCTAGGAAAGAAATTAATGCAATGCAATTTAGAATAAAAATGGAACATAGCCAAAGTAGGAAAAGTGAGGCGTTGCGAATACTTTACAGATGCACTCTGTTGAATTAATTTAATTTTTGTTCCAGAGTAAAAGAAGACCAGCAAATCATCATGGAAAGTCCTCCATATAATGAAAAAAGGATAGTCTGATAAATAAAAAAAGATACAACTTAGCATTCAAAGGTGTTGTCAGGACTCAAGGTTAATTGCTAGAAAACAAATCTAGTGGAAATGCAGTATAAGCTCTTTAATTGCTCTGTATTAAGTACTGCATCATCTGGTATTGTGAGAGGTTTTAATATTTCCACATGTTTTCTTTCTTCATTGCCCATTTCTGTTGCTCTATGTCCTCTTGCAGAGGCAAGCAGTTCATGAAGTGTTGACCAGATAAAACAAAAAAAGCTAAATAGCTTATGGTGGATTTCTTTAAAAATAAAAATAAAAAAACCTGAAATAAGATCTTAATTCAATTATTGAGAGTGAGCAATGCCAGACAGTTTATGAAATAAATATTCACGTGTGTCATTAATTTCTAAAAACTGTAAATTAATACAATTGTCTCAGTTAAATGCACTAATACTATTCTCAAAAACTATATATATTTTAAGAGTAAATATATTTTTGTTTTTATGCTGAAGCACATCATGAATTGATTTAAACTGTCAACTTCAGCCATCAAACTCAGGAGATTCAATTAGAGATTTAATCAAGAAATACATTATAATAAAACTACTGATAACTATTTTGTTTCACCTCAAACGTATCTGAATCTCAATTTGCAGTAAGAAAAATAAATCAAGTTTTACGCAATTAAAAAGAAGACTAAGACAATGCCATTTTTGTTGACATTCTCATAAAATCCTGACAGTTTTCACAGAGGAAGCTCTCTAAATCTACTTTAATATACACCTCAGTCACAAAACTTAGAGATGTTGAAAATCAGCTGCTGTGTCTCCTGCGGTGCACCAACAATAAGCTGTAACTGTTGTAATCACTGGTTCTTTCAGCAGGTTTTCACAATGTTATTCAGACACATAAATGTATGTAAACCTGAATGTTATTAGTGATATTTGTCCACAATTTAATAACTTAAAATCACTAATTCTCAGCCACACCTTGAAGCATAGGGAAACTGCAATCACAGTTTTGCAACATTTCTGCGTCTGTAAAGGTATAAAAGAGAAGCTCAACATCCAAAGAGCAACACTACATCCTCTTCTGTTGTCTCTCAGAAAACCTACTGAAGGTGTGATGACTTCTTGACTTATTTAGATTATGGTTTTGGTATTCACACAGTGAATTTCTTCAATGCTATATTCTACTAACTTGTCCTTGAACAAGTTGTTCAGAAACTAATTTTGATCTTCTGTTCTAACAGGTAAAATCACTGCAACCATGCTGAAGGTAGCTCTTGTTCTTGGATGCCTCCTGAGCCTCATTGTGGCTGAGCCTGTAAGTACAATATTATTATGTTTAATAAGATATCAGTGAGTTAATACTGTATGTAGACATTATTACTATTATTGTGAAAATGTTTACTGCATGTAATGTCAAACCCTGTGCAGATGGAGCACCAGCGTTTTGCGCGTTCAGGCTCTGGTTCTGACTCAGATGAGGTGAGTGTCCTCTCTGCCTAACCTTTAGATTAAATCTGAGCATAAGTTACTGTATCAGTAATGTAAAAATCCTCTGCTACTTGTAACCTCCCTTCATTTTCTTGAAGACCACCACGACTACGACCAGAGCAGGAACTACCACAACAGCAACTTCATTGACTCTGGCCCAGATCCTGGCCCTGCTCCGACAACTACTCAATCAGTAATGATGAAGTGAGTGAAAAACACAGAAAAACTGTTTTTTGACAATACTGCTGTATATAATCATTGATATTTAACTGTTTTTATCAAGTTGTTGAGTTTTACAGAGAATCTATAACAGTATTATTATTTCATCTCATTTCAGGTTCAGTGGCTGCTGTTTTAACCAGATGGCTTCTATTGACTCAACAATTGGACAAATATCATTCTTCACCAAGTGTTGAATAAAAATAAACATGTTCAGTGCAAACTTTTGTTACGGTGTCTTTCATTATATTTTGCAATTCACCATCCAGACATGCATGCTTATTGTAAGAGCAATAGCAAAATTATGTTGAAGAACTTTACCTAACTTTAGTAATCTATATTGATAAAGGCTTATTTATATCTGGAAGTTGAATGCATTGATTTATTCAGAAATCTATAATTATTTTATATATTTATATTTTAATAAATTTATGTTTTTGTGCTGAAGTACATCATTTATTTAAACTGTCAAATTCACCCATCAAACTCAGGAGGTGGGATTATAGCTGCGTCTATAATCCCAGATATCTGATTGGCTGACTGAGACGGTTTCTTCCTGGTTACTATGAGCAGAGGCGCATAATAGGGGGAAAACTATGACAATTCTAAGGGCCCCTGACCAACAGGGAGCCCTTCACAATTTATTTATTTATTCTTTGTTCATAGAGATTTTAAGAAAAAGTGGCCCTGTCAATTGTAATATTAATCAGTTGCATGTTCAAAGATTGTTTTCAGCAGTGAAAATGTAATGTTCCCACTCCCAGACCAAAAGACACACATCCTTATTTGCCCTAAACACGCCCTGCATGATCTGCATGAAATGTTTTGTTCCTGCTTGGAGCCCTTGATGGTGACGGTGTTCAGCAGCAGACTGTGGAAAACACGAACCACTGTGGCAGTTACTCTGCAGCTAAGAAAACAGTAAAGTCAGGTTTTCAAAAAATAAAAAATAAAAATATAGAAAGAGGGAGAGAGAGAAAAAGGTAAGAGTGTAAATTTATAACCCAGTTTTTCTCCAAGAGAGGTGGGAAGACTGTGAGATCATCAACCATTTAGCATAATTAGCTTAGCTACAGATTATTTGGTAATATATTACCAAATATGCTATTATGTCTGGTAATATATTACCAATATGTTAACTTGTCCCTTGTACCTTTCACAAGACAAGTTTTAAAAGGTACAACTCGTCTTAACAATAGATGAGTCAGTCAGCAGCAGCTCTAGCCCCCCTCCCTCCTGACCCATTCTGTCCTGAGTGAAATTAAGGCTTCAGTATGTAACTTTTATCATTTTTAATTTGTTCACATATTTGTTAGAAAATAATAATAATTTTAAGATTACTATGAGTAAAAAAAACAAACAAAAAAAAGCAGAAACATGAAGGCACTGAGTTAATGTATGACAGAAAATTCAAATAGAAAACAAAATGAATAATTATAAAAGAAATTTGCAATTACAGTTGTCTCTTCACAATCTGTCCCAGAGAAGGTCAAGGGAAATCTGATGGTGTGTTGGTTGGTAGAGCTTTTTATACACATGCAGATGGGTGGATTTAATATCCCAAACATATCAGGCTGTTGGGAAATTATAATTCTTTGGAAACTGCTCAATATTTCAAGTACGTAAGTGGAAATGTTAGGAAATGGGTGAAACAATAGTGCTTTAGAAGATCAACAAAGGGTCGGCATTGGCTTAGTGGGTAAAATATTAAATAATCTATTAAATGAGTTAAGAGAAACATAAAAAATTAACTGTGATATGTTGTCTTATATTTTACAGAAGAAAAAAGCACCAAAAAATGCTTTGTTGAAATAAAACTTGTTAAAGTTAAAAGTTTTTGGGTTTTTTCTGTAAAAAGCACTTAGGGAAAAAATTTCAATATTACCAAAAATCTTGCTCTATGTAATTTTTGAACATTTCAAAATCAAGCATAAATGCTTCAAGGTGTGGCTGAGAATTAGTGATTTTAAGTTATTCAACTGTGGACAAATATCACTAATAACATTCAGCTTTACATACATTTGTGTGTCTGAATAACATTGTGAAAACCTGTTGAAAGAATCAGTGATTACAACAGTTACAGCTTATTGTTGGTGCACTGCAAGAACTCTTGTTGAGCAACAGGAGCTCGTTCAACAGGATCTGTTGAAAGAGCTCCTGTTGCTCAACAGGACCAAAACGCTGGTGCTCCATCTGCACAGGGTTTGACATTACATGCAGTGAACATTTTCACATCACTAAGTTTTGTGACTGAGGTGTATGTTAAAAAAGACGTATAGGATTTTATGAGAATAATAATGATGACACAGAGTGACTTGTCAAAAAAATATTGTCTCACTCTTTCTTTTGCTTTGTTTATGTGCATAAACACATAAATTTACTTATTGATATTTAAAATTCAGCGACTTTGTTGTCATTAAAGTTCATAAGCGCCTTTATTTAATTATGTTTTATTGATTGTTTTTAGACAGTGGTCAGATTGTCAGATGTCTTACAGATAACTTAACCCAACACGTCATTACAGCTTTTTCATGTTTTCATTATATCTTTTTAATAATTCCAAGATATTTTAAAAATCAAAAGACTTTAACATGCCGCATCTTCTATATATATTAGATTTTAGAACAGTTTCCCTGTATAATTAACAGGTTCCCTGTTAATCATACATTACATCAGAACATTATAGAAAGCTGCATAGCCTGTATAGCTGCAACTGTATAATAAAGCCTGGAATGTTACCATTGACCTGTCAGTGAGTGACCCATTGTTTGAAGTAGTAGATGTTAAACTTGTTTCTGAATGATAATTAAACTCAATGAGGCTATTGAGTTTAATTTGACTATTTCACCTCTTTTCATTTCAGGTTCCAAACCAGCTTTTCTCACAAGAATGGTTTTTCACCCAACATTGAGGAAAAAATTTTTCTTTCTGCTTGTTTGCATGACAAATAAATCTTGAGAATGAAAATCCTCTCTGTGTTGTTTTTTCTTAATAATCATCCACCCATCCAGTCTGATATGGTGAGCAGAGCTGGTGCTTATCTCTAGCATTCAAGAGGCAGGGTGCGCCATGGACGGGCCACCATCCATCTCTTAGTAAATCTTAAGTAACAAAATTGTCCTTTCATTGTTACTTCTCACTCCATTTTTAGCACATGTACTCAGTGTATAAGAATTAGTGAAAACTTTTCCATACCAAAAAAATTCCCAATCTCATCCATCCTTTCATCTGTTCATTGGGTTTTTAGGTCCAGCAAATCATTATCAATGATATATATTTGCATCTCCTTTTAGTGTTTGACCTCAGATCATCATAAAGGTTCCTTGTTTTGCTCAGAACGGATTACCAAACATATTTCTATATGCTGAACAATGAGAGAAGAATGAGAGAGGGATTTTGTTTTACCTTTTGTTGTTGGAGGTGTGCAGATGTTATTTTTACCAAATATTACCCAAAAACACAGTACAATAGTTTGCCACAATTCTTGTCTATTGCATCATAAATCCATTCTACAATATGTATATAAATGTACATAAATATTTTACTAGCACATGTGAGCTGAATGCATATGCTATATTTTGGTTACCACATCAGACTCAAGATGTCTAGAACCTGCACAGATAAAGAAATCCATATGTTTAATGTGATTGGGGACGGGCACACCTGGACATGACTGCAAACTCTGCTCTCAATTATTGGCTAATGTATGCTGGAGTACATTTTAATCACATGGACATGTTTTTGCTTTCTGATTCAAAACAATTTACATTGTCAATGTAAATCTAAAAATCAAGACTTGGTTGTGGGGAACACAGGCAAGACTCAGCCCTTTACATGCAGTGTAGATGGATATTTATTTGTAGATGGATATTTATTTGCCTTCTCTTGCTCTCTTTTTTTAAGAGAAATAGTTTGTATATTGCAGATTAGCTTGTTTTTAGAGCTGAAACAGTGAAAACACTATTGGAGCATTCTTGCTCTTTTGTTCCATATAATCAAGAAAAACTAATTGGTAAACATCTTCATCTTGTCATCCATTCACTGTCACAAACAAGGAGGTTCAAAGTAAATGATTCATGAAAATGTGTTTTTAGGATTCTCCATATTGTCACCCTCCTAAAATAATGGTGTAAGACATTTTTTGACTAAAACATTTCAGAACAAAAGAGGGTTTTTTTTTCTTCTTTTTTGTCAAAATCATTTTTGGTAAAAAAATAAAAAGACTGAGGCTATTGTTTTAAGAAGGTGACAATATGAACGTATTCAGAGGCTCCAAAGGAAGAAAAGAGTAGTCAAGATTTTTTTTGCTAAGCTTTATTGAGCAGATACCAGACATAAATCATTATCATTGGTATTTAAAACTGAAAAAGAAAAAGATAACTTTCTCAGCAATACATGACAAAGTTGCTGATGTTCAAGACTCCATTTTATGGAGGAGGAGCCACTGTTGTAGGTGCTATTGTGGGTTGTTGTAGTTGTGGTAGTGGTGGCAAGAAGCTGGATAAGCAGGGAAAGCAGGGTGGCAAAGTTGGTTGTTGAGACCTGTAGGAAAATCATACAGATAGTTAGAAAGTTAGCAAAAATGTACATCAGGTATACAGTAGAAGCTGCTGATCTGTGGTTTATTACAGAGACAAGAAATATTCTCACCTCATTGGAGTTCGATCCAGATCCAGAGCCAGAGCGAGCAAATCGCTGGTTCTCCATCTGAAAAAATCATTTATTTTCCTTCTTTTAACTTTTTAATAGAAAAATGATGTAAAAAAATAATTCCTATCCCTCCTCATAAAAAAAATCAAAGCAAAGTCTTTATAATTGCTGATCAACATTTCTATCCTACAATTTTTATTTGATTATGCCTAATCTAATCCCTCCACAGATTTTCTTTCACACTGAACATGGGCTTATTCCTACTCCAAACCATGGATGTTTCTTGCAGAGGTAAAATTTAAAGATTACTTTAGCACAAACACGTCAGCCGTTTGCAACAAGAAATTTCACTTGGATAATGACTGAAATTTGAGTTCATGCAGTCTTCAATGTGAAGAAAATGCATGCAAAACTACATATTTAAACTTCTTTGCACATTTTTAAGTCCACTTTAAAAAATTGCTTATAATATTGTCACTTACTGGTGCAGCCACAATGAGGCTCAGGAGGCATCCAAGGATAAGTGCTACCTTCAGCATGGCTGCAGTGATTTCAGCTGTTGGAACACAAATAAAGTCTTTATCAATAAAATAAATTGTTTTCATAGAGTAAAAGAAATGTCATAAAGTCATATAATCACCTTAGAGTCTTCTCTGCTTGACTTGATAAGAAGGTTGTTGTGTTGAGCTGAATTTTGGACTCTCTTATATACCGTATCTGGATCAGAGCTGTTGGGAAATCATCATACTTAAAAATGCAACCTGGTTGTCATGTTTGGTTAGATACAGAAACAACATCTTGAAAGCTGATTGGTGTAATAGTACAATCCAGTGTTATTATATATAATCCACAGCAGGTCCAGAAAATTACAATGCAAGATTGGTTCATTCTTGATCCCTTAGTGTTGAAACAAATTAGTTCGTTGACATCAGACCTTTGGATTACATTTAGTACAAGCAGCATCTAGTGGAATTTGCATTTATGCTTGTAGAAATGATAGTCAGCAGCCTTTGGCTCCCTTTTTTTAATATATATAAAGCTTATTAAGATACCAAGCATGATAGCAGGTGTGATTTCTATTTTAGGAATGTTAAAAAAAACAAATTTTTGAAGAATTTCTACAACTTTATTTAAAAAGAAAAAAGAAGGATGGTGTTGAAGACATCAGCAGGCATATTGCTGGCGATCGATATGTTTGAGTTTGTTTTTTTTGTTTCTAGAGGGTTTTCATAGCTTTCATGATAGTACATGTAATACTATCAGGTGTCACATCTACCTGATAGTGGTTAGTAATCATTTTTTCTGCCACTTGCATGATGATAAAAAAAAAAAAAACACCCCTCTTGTGTCTTTTCTCAAAACGTGTATTTTCGGTGTTTGACAGAAAAATGTATTACACAGAAGCATAGAAACAAATATAGTGGCAGAGACACAGGCGACATTAAGCCCTGTTTTGATTTATGGACACATCATTATTTTTTTAATAAATAATGACTGTATCTCGAATTAGTTTAGCGCAGAGATGTTCTGTCATTTTTCTCAGACTGCAAGTCAACAGTTTTAACACACAAGTCAGTCAAGTTTCTAATGACTGACATAAACATTTTCTCATTAAATTTGGTGCAAGTTCAACCTGGCATTGGTACAGATTATGAGTCCTAATTTGCATTGTTGTCCCAAAACATAAATCACCATATGAACACACACTATCTGTCTTTAACTTTCTTATTTTACTAAAAATAAATATTACTAAAATATTCTCCTTTTTATAATTAGTTCAACATGCAAACAACGGCTTAATGATGCCTTATATTATTTTGAAAATTGATGAAATCTAAATGTCAGCCAAGCCTCCATGGGGCCCAAACGAAATGTGGTTTTGGGGCCCTCTAGTTCTGCTAATAATGTGGACTGGCTGCAATCAGCAGCCCGATCATTAGATAATTCACACACCTGCTATAAACTTATTGAATCTCTCCCAGTGCTGTTTACAGTATATACATGTATAATAGGATACATGTATTGACCAACTGATTTATCGACCAGTTGATTTCTTGGAGCTGATTTGAGAGATCGTGATTGGCCAATATTTGTATGTGAAGCTGATCTTATCCCCTGATCTTATCTTTGTCAGCAAAGTTTTAAAAATCAGCCTCTGTCCTCTTCTGCTCTGCAGTGAGAGGTGCAACTGACAGATCATCCCACCAGGTCAGGTCTGAATGTTTACAGTTAACAATACTGTTGCCAACTCACTGACTTTCTTGCTATATTTAGCGACATTTAAGACAAAAAAAAATTATATCAGCCAAAATCAAAATCGGCAGGTCAGGCTTTTTAAAGATCAGTAACCAGGGATCCGCCAAAAAACTGCAATCCGTGCAGCCAAACTTAAGATGAAGTACATCTTAAGTTCATAACATATTCATAACATTTTTTGATTTAATAACTTTCTCTTAAGCGTTACTCCAATAGCTAAAAATGTAATTTATACCAGGTGAGTATTTCTCTTGGAATGTGGACCAGTACTGAACTGATTCTGTGCCTTCAAAGGATTTTAAAAGAAGTTTCACACAACTTAGAAGTTGATGTAAAGATAATGTTTGTTATAGTCACAAAATGATTATGCTCAGCAGCAAACAACATATCACCAATTACGGCATGGAGCAGCTCATCAATGTAGCAGCTATGTCGCCTGACGTGAAAACATTTTGATAGACAATGTCAAACAATGAGAAGTTTTATTATTGTTATCAAGGGTTATCAAATACAAACATACCTCAGAAATATACAGAGCCAACCGTGAGAATCATTCAATTCAGTTTCATACAAACACAAGACACTAGCATAAATGTTTGATTGTTGAATTGGACCGTTCCAGGTCGCTATCAAACTAATTTTCTATTAGCAGCTTTATAAATCTTTCACATTACATTACACTGCTATTAGAAATGTAAATTGGAATTAATGACTGAAGAAACAATTTGAAAAAGAGGTTTAAATCTGTTAAGGTTATATTGACTCAAAGGGTTTGTTTGTCTTTGTGAAGACTATGTTAATGCTTGTTTATCTCTGTCTTCATACTGCTGACTCCTTTATTAAATATTGCACCAACCAGGTTTGGAGGGTTTTCTTCTGCTTAATCTGAGCTGGAGAGCAACATTGGGAAACAATTGTATGAATAGTCATTGACAAGCTTTGCTTTTAGTTCTACTTATTATAAATATTCAAACATTAAACATAAATGTGTGGGGTAAATCTTTACAGTAAGGAAGTCCATAAAATGCAATTAAAAGCCTTCAGCTGAATTTAAAATGATGTGAATTATAAATACATTTTTATTCTGTTTGCACTTCCTCTCACTGGCTCCCTGTTAAATCCAAAATGCAATTTAAGATGATCCTTATCACATATTAAGTAAGAAAATTCTAAGTATTCCATAGGTCCCAGTAGAGCACTTTGCTCTTAGACTGCAGGTTTACTAGTGGTCTCCACAATTTTTTAAAGTGCAATGTGACGGCAGATCCTTTAGTTTTCAGTCTCCTGTCCTGTGGCAGCTGCCTTTGCTTAAAACTTTACTGTTTCATAAAATTTAATGTTCTGGAGAAACAGTTCTGCCTGACTCTGCTTTTCCCATGAGCCACTAAGAGGTTAGTTTATCTTGAGCTTTTTCTGTCGTTTTGCTGCTGCATGCTTACCACATATTTACACGTCATCCACTCTGCTTCTCTCCGACTCAAACTCTGCAGTAAGATTCACATGTCAACTCAAAACGTTGTTTTCCAGGTGCTGGAGAAACTATGCCATCAATCTACAAAGATCACACTGCACTTACAGAAAAATGAAAATCACAATTTGTAAAAAAAAACAAAATTGTACTGGTTATCACTTCAAATAGGCGTTTTGTATCTGCATACAAGTTTGTCCTTAGCAGTTTCAAAAGCAGCTGCACAACTGGAAACAGGTGAGGACCAATCTGCAATGTCAACAACTCATTCCTCCTTCTAAACACAATCAATTGGCCCAGAGAGAAAGAGCTTGGTCACACAGCCAAGGCAGAGGACAATAACATCAGTACTGCAGCCAACCAGCCAGAACAGAGGACACTTTCAATACTCTGACATTGGGGACTGGTAAGGCTCCAGGAGACGGCTCACAGACCTCATTATATGCCTGAGGGGGCTGTTAGCAAGGCATATCACTGTTCAAATATTGTTTGGACTCAAAACAACCAGGAGACAACAAGTCAAACTGAACATTTTTAATATTTTGGTGAGACATTTAATATAACAGCAATAATTACACTCTAACCCCACTGTCACTATTCAGCCTCCAGCCTCCCACATCTGCACATCAATCAGCATCTCTACAGGCACATCACCCATTGAAATGGCCACTGCAACAGCCTGCAGCCTATTTCTGCATATTTTGTCCTCAGTGTCCGGAGAGGGTGCAGAACTGCAGTACACAGATTTGTAGATTTCTTCATTTAAATGTATAAATGTTTGTGTTATTTTTGACAAGTATGAGTTTGCAGTGAAATAAATATCCACATTTATTCTGAGTGCTACATTTAATCACATGTGAAATCACTTTTGTGAGAATTTGAGTTTTCTGTGTTTATTTTGGTTTTTGGGTCAGTTGAGTCTCTGTGTTGTCCCTTAATTGATCCCAGCTGTGTCTTGTTGCCCTCATAACCCTCTGTGTATTTAAATCCACCTGTATCTTGGTTGTTGTCTGATGTCATTGTCTCCAGCTGTGTTACCTGTCGCTACCAGTGTCTGAGTTCTTAGCCTTCTGCTCACCTGTTCTGCCTGGATTTTGTGCTTTATTCTTCATCAAACCATCATTTTCTCTGCTACCCCTGTGCACTGTGTCTACCTCACCATTCTAGAACTGCAAACCATCACAACTTTCCTAAAACAAACTGTTTGCTTTAGTTCAAAGGTAGCTTTGAATATTGTGGACTATTTTCTCAATACACGACACAAGGAGGACAGAAGTTCATCCAACATGATGGGTGGAAATACTGGCGATGCCTATGACTCTCCAGTTGCTGCACTGGTGCTGCTGCAATTTCCATCAGTAAATGGCGCTATTGGAATTAATTGAATTCATCATCACAGGCTGATAACACGGCACATTCACAATCGCAAACTTCTTACATATATTTGAAGTAAGAGATTCATAAAAATGTGTTCGAAATTTTATAACCTAATTGGATTTTTCACATGAATGTACCCAGAGGCTTTAATGAGAGAAAAGAGTCGTCATGATTTTTCTTTTTTTGCTTAACTTTATTAAGCACAAAACCAGACATGACAGCATATTTGATTCATGTTTCATTGATATTTCCAATATCAATAAAAATTGAGAGAGAAAAAAACTGACAACTTTCTCAACACATGACAAATTTGCTGATGTTCAAGATTACATTTTATGTAGCAGGAGCCACTGTTGTAGGTGCTCTTGTGGTTGTTGTGGTTGAGATAATCAAGACTTGGTTGTGGGGAACACAGGCAAGACTCAGCCCTTTGTGGATGGACACTTGCCTTCTCTTGCTCTCTTTTTTTAAGAGAAATAGTTTATATATTGCAGATTAGCTTGTTTTCGGAGCTGAAATATGGGGCTTAATTTAGTTAATAACAGTGAAAACACTATTGGAGCATTCTTGCTCTTTTGTTCCATATAATCAAGAAAAACAAATTAGTAAACATCTTCATCTTGTCATCCATTCACTGTCACAAACAAGGAGGTTCAAAGTAAATGATTCATGAAAATGTGTTTTTAGGATTTTCCATATTGTCACCCTCCTAAAATAATGGCATAAGACATTTTTTGACTAAAACATTTCAGAACAAAAGAGGTTTTTTTTTCTTCTTTTTTGTCAAAATAATTTTTGGTAAAAAAATAAAAGAAATAAAAAGACTGAGGCTATTGTTTTAAGAAGGTGACAATATGAACGTATTCAGAGGCTCCAAAGGAAGAAAAGAGTAGTCAAGATTTTTTTTGCTAAGCTTTATTGAGCAGATACCAAACATGAATCATAATCAGTGGTATTTAAAACTGAAAAAGAAAAAGATAACTTTCTCAGCAATACATGACAAAGTTGCTGATGTTCAAGACTCCATTTTATTGACGAGGAGCCACTGTTGTAGGTGCTATTGTGGTTGTTGTAGTTGTGGTAGTGGTGGCAAGAAGCTGGATAAGCAGGGAAAGCAGGGTGGCAAAGTTGGTTGTTGAGACCTGTAGGAAAATCATACAGATAGTTAGAAAGTTAGCAAAACTGTACATCATGTATGTAGTAGATGCTGTAAAGTTGTAGTTTGTAATAGAAGAAATAAATGATTCTCACCTCATTGGAGTTTGAGCCAGAGTCAGAGCGAGCAAATCGCTGGTGCTCCATCTGAAGAGAACAAACAAATTCAGTCATTCTGCAATTTACTTTGACTTCATTGGACCAAATTAACTTCTTACTATTTCATGTTTAGTGGTTTTAGGTTTCTGCACTTGCTAATACACATACATTTCACCAGTCTCATTTAACAGAACCTCAACAGCAGCCATTGGTGGCTTTCCTTTCCAAGAAAATCTAATTGTCAGCAAACAGAATTTAGCTCAACAGAAACTTTGGAGGAGTACCAAATACAGTTCAGCTAAGAAATATTTTTTTTATTTTTGTCTTTTTAATTTCTTTATCATAACACAATCTAGAAATGAAATGGGAATAATTCAACTATACAGCTTAGGTATGTGATTGGTGCTTCAAAACTCTGTTATGAATTAAATGAGTGCTAATAAATGTGTTGAGATTTGAAACAATAAAATAAACTGTTGTCATGACACACAAGATTACAATCAATATTCACTGCAGAGTAAAATTAAAATTAACATATTTAAGCTTCTTTACAGTCCATTAAAAGAAAAATTGCTTATTACTTACTGGTGCAGCCACAATGAGGCTCAGGAGGCATCCGAGAATAAGTGCTACCTTCAGCATGGCTGCAGTGATTTCAGCTTTTGGAACATAAATAAAGTCCTTATCAAGCAAACAAATTGGTTCAGTTGTATAAAGAAATGAAGCATAAATTCATATAATCACCTTAGAGTCTTCTCTGTCTTGACTGACTGTCCCACAGGAGGTTGCTGTGCTGAGCTAAATTTTGGACTACTCTTATATAAAGTATCAGGATCAGAGAAGTTTAGAAATTTTCCTTTGTAAAAATGTAACCTAGTTGCAATGTCTAGTCAGAGATTATATACACAATCCTCACCTTGACAGCTCTCATGTGTAATAAAATTACCTTGACAGCTCTCATGTGTAATAAAATTATTCAGTGTTATAATCCATAATAAATCCATTAAATTGCCAGTGTGCACCATTCCTGATCTCCCAGTTTTAAGACAAATTAGTAAGGTGATGCCAGACCTTTTGATTAGAAATGAAGGGCCTTTCAATATAGGGAACACACAAATGTGTTTGCATTCATGAATGTCTACTCTTGTCTTTGATAAATGTTTTTTAAAATATCTAGATATCAACTGGACAATGAGCTTGAATTGTATCAACAAATTTATAGACTTGTTTTTGTGTTATGAATAATAACTTATTATTTGTCTTTTCAAATATTTGATCTGACATGTTATAACATCTCATTTAGTTGAAAGCACACAACAAGGCAAAATTGTGAATCTTAAATTATATATAATATAATGTTTTTTAAAACAAAGGGATTGGTGTCCCCTCCAATGTCATTAGTAAAAGCATCACTGAAACCACAAAGTTTTATAAAACAAAAAAATAATTAAAGGTCTCTGAAGAAATTTAGGGTTGAATTTATTGTTAAAAATCTTTAATTCAATAAATTGAAAAAAAAATAAGTTAATGGTACTCTAATTTTGAGTTGATGGTTAAAAGAGAAGTTACATGGAAAAAACGTTCTGTTGGATCTTAATATGTTCATTAGACATCTCCTAACGCAACTTTGCACTTTTCATAAGTGTTAACTTTTCATGCATTTTAATGTCCTTTTGAAGATGTCCTAAACGTAATTGCTGTGACATTTGCAACCCAAAATGCTAGAAATAAACTTAATCTAAAGAAATATATGAAGTGGCAGCACCACCTTTTTCAGGTATAATCAATCAATCAAATTTTATTTGTATAGCACATTTCAGCAAGGCATTTCAAAGTGCTTTACATCATAAACACAAGAACACAAAGTCATGCAACATATAATAGACAATACATTGTTACATATTACATTTCAAAAACAATTCTAAATAGGTGTGTTTTTAATTGAGATTTAAAGGAAGTCAGGGTTTCTGCTGTTTTACAGTTTTCTGGAAGTTTGTTCCAGATTTTTGGTGCATAGATGCTGAAAGCTGCTTCTCCTCTCTTGGTTCTGGTTCTGGGGATGCAAAGCAGACCAGAACCAGAAGACCTGAGAGGTCTGGAAGGTTGATACAACAACAGCAGATCTTTGATGTATTGTGGTGCTAAACCGTTCAGTGATAACAACAGTATTTTAAAATCTATTCTTTGAGCTACAGGGAGACAGTGGACAGACTTTAAAACTGGTGTTATGTGCTCTATCTTCCTGGTTTTAGTGAGAACGCGAGCAGCAGCGTTCTGGATCAGTTGCAGCTGTTTGATTGATTTGTTGGACAGGCCTGTGAAGACACTGTTGCAATAATCAATGCGACTAAAGATAAACGCATGAATGAGTTTCTCTAGATCTGGCTGAGACACTAGTCCTTTAATCCTGGAGATGTTCTTCAGGTGATAGAAGGCCGACTTTGTAATTGTTTATGTGGCTTGCAAGGTTCAAGTCCGAGTCCATCACTACTCCCAGGTTTCGGGCCTGATCGCTAGTTTTTAGTTGTAATAACTGAAGCTGTGCATTGACTTTAGATCGTTCCTCTTTAGGTCCAAAAAATAATGACTTCAGTTTTGTTTTTGTTCAGCTGGAGAAAGTTTTGGCACATCCACACATTTATCTGTTCTAAACATTTATTCAGTGATTGGATGGGTTCAGAGTCACCTGGTGACATCGTAATGTAGAGCTGTGTGTCATCCGCATAGTTATGGTAGCTAATATTATTTCCTGTTATGACCTGAGCTAGTGGGAGAATATAAATATTGAATAAGAGGGGTCCTAGGATTGAACCTTGGGGTACCCCACATGTGACCTTTGACCTCTTTGATGAGAAGTTTCCAATTGAAACAAAGAAATCCCTGTTCTTTATGTAAGATTCAAACCAGTCGAGCACCCAACCGGAGAGTCCGACCCAACTCTCCAGTCGATTCAGTAATATGTCGTGGTCGACAGTGTCAAAAGCTGCACTGAGGTCCAACAGAACCAGCACTATGGTTCTCCCACAGTCCGTATTTATATGGATATAATTGAATACTTTTACGAGTGCAGTCTCCGTGCTGTGGTGAGCACAAAACCAGATTGGAAAGAGTCAAAGCGGTTGGTCATCATGAGGAAACTATTTAATTGTTTACACACAGTTTTTTCAATAACTTTGCTGATGAATGGGAGGTTTGAGATCGGACTGTAATTCTGCAATAGTGATTTGTCCAGGTTGTTCTTTTTTAACAGTGGTTTGATGACTGCTGTTTTCAAAGCCTGGGGGAAAACGCCTGATTTGAGTGATGAGTTTACGATTTGGATCAGATCAGTAGCAATAACAGGCAGGACTTTCTTTAAAAAAATGTGTTGGTAGGACATACAGACAGCAGGAACTTGAACTTAATTGACTTATAATTTTTTCTAGAGTTTTATAATTAAGTAGTTGAAAATGGGTCATTTTTTCTGTATTTGTTTTGTCTGGGTTCAGCAGTGGTTCTGGCTGTAGAGTTGATATGCAGATTAATCCTCTGATTTTTTGAATTTTCTCTGAAAAGAAGCTGGAAAACTTGTTACAGGCAGCATTAGATTGGAGTTCAGGTGGAAACGTCAGAGGAGGGTTTGTGAGCCTGTCAACCGTTGCAATAATGTCAATATTATAAAAATTGTAATTTGAGACAGATGTAAAATGAAGAAGATTCACATTCAAAGAAAAACTATTTCATTTGACAAAAGTATTTATTTATTTAAAATGTAGTCAAAGCAAAGAATAAGTTTCAGTTAAGTTGTGGCAAATATTCCCCCAGGCCTTTTCCCTCAGCAGTGATGTTTCTTCTATCCTTCTAGCATCTATGGCTCAAACAGGAAGGGGAAGCTGCCATTACCCTGAAAAAAAAAAGAAAGAAAGAAATTAAGCATGAGAAAATATTCTCAACAAATAGTTTGCACTTGTAAACGGAGTACCTCATCAGTCCCAGGACCAGTTGCATCACCACGGGGATCAGGGGGAACAGTGGTGGACTCTTTCTTAGCCCCTGCTGGCAATGTCTGGCAAAAATCACAGAGGAAGTTACAAAGTTATACATTTTGAGAGCAATTGTTTAAAACAGAAAAAAACAAAAATAAATATTTTACCTTTTCTGTCTGTAGCTTAGAGCCCTGCTGAAATAGAAAGTGAATTACAGTTAGATCAGCCGCTTTCAAATGTGCATGCAGTAATTACAACGCAGTTTGCAAATTATTAAAAAGCATAGAGTTGACTCAATAAAGAAAAGACGTAAAATTTCCTGCAATATGTATTTCAAAAAATACATAATTTCTGCTTCAAGGCTGAAGTGCATAAAATGTTGCTGAATAGATAATACCTCCTTATTAAATAAATAATAATAATCACACATTAGTGTCACTGGGGCATACATTATGCAAGTAAGCATTAGAAGAAGTACAAGCGAGTGATCAACACTGTCAGTGAGGCACCGAGCGGATTGATGAGCTGTCTGGTTGGCTAAGTAGCCAGACGTCATTACAACACTCTTACTACATCCACGCTGCTCTGACTCAATAGACTCAGCTGTGTTATTATCATTAATCCTTAGCGTTGAGTCATTTAAGTTTATTGCTCAAGCTTTTAATTTAAAGTGATACACAGTAAACTGATTTCATTGGTTTAGTTTAAACCACAAAGACCACTGAATGATTTTCTGAGAATCATAATTAGACAGGTTATTACAGCTCCATAGCCATGCGTTCTTTGTCTTTGTTTATGTCTGAGATTTGTTGTCTTTTTTCATTATTTCTTGTTGTGAAGCACTTTGTGATTCTTTAATTGCGAAAGGTGTTACATAAACAAATTTACTTAAGAATTACAAGAAATCTTATTTGAATAGTACATACATTTTATTTCTACTTCACCTTTCCCAGACAACAGTAAAAATAGTAAAAGGCAGTAAAAGCAATAAAAATACAAAGATAGAGATATTTATTATTTTCTTTTTTTTAAAATTACCTGCAGTGGGAGTTGTGGTCTTTGTGTGGCTCTTTCCAGTTTCTGCTGTCCGTTGTTGGGCAGAACCGCAGGGTTCCTCTGCTGGGCATAGCCATACCGGGGTACAAAGTAAGAGTAGCCCTAAAAATAAATAAATAAATAAATAAATTCATCATCAAAATTTTAATTAATATGATGCTTACAATTGGGTCAGTTTGTGTAAATAAAAACCTGCTGTCTGTGAATCTGTGGGAATCCAAAAGATGGATACTGAAACTGTGGATACATCTGCAAGAAACAGTGAAATAAAAAAAATAATCTCTTATCAGTGTGGAGATCCTTGCATCATGTGCATTGGTCAAGCAACCTAATTGCGTGATCCTTAAGTTGTTGGTCTGTTACCTGGACAGGGTTCTGGGCTTGCTGAGGACCGTTGGGATTGTTGGGGTCTTGTGCTGGTCCAAGCTGCTCTTGCTGCCCGTTAGGGAGAAGCATAGGTGTCAGCTGCTGGCCTTGGTTAGGAAGCAGCAGCTGTGGCCCTTGGGGACCAAAAGGTCCTGCCAGTTGGGGGTTCAAATTCAACAACTGTGAGGTCAGCAAGACATCCGGTGTTTGCTGCTGCAGAACATACTGGGGTAATATTGAGCCCTGGAGAAAGTAAAAGCACATTTTAACCCATTGCTTTAAATGAATTGCTGAAGCACTTCATTAAAGTGCTTCAGCACATTTAAAGCACAATGTAGGAAAACGGAAACGTTTCAGCAGCTTTTTAAGCACCTGTGTTTGTCCAAGAGCTGCAAGAGTCAATCCATTCAGTCTCAGGAGCTGATCAACAAAATGGTGAAATTAGATCAACCAATTTCATTTATTGCATAACAACAAGTGCAGATATTTAAATGTGATTTACCTCATTGCTGTTGCTTGCAATAATTCCAATCTGAACCTTCAAGAAGACGTGCAGAATATTTAATCTAATGTTGAAATAACATACTTTGTTCTTGGGTAATATTGTTGGATATAATTGAAACTCACCGGCAGAGCAAGGCTTGACCTAAAAAGGCAGATTACCAGAAGGGCACTTTGCAGCTTCATCGTGTCCTGCAGTGAGCCGAAACATGCACATTTTGTTAAAGATTCATGAAATACCAGTCGCCTCAGCGAAATCTCAGCATGTCAAGCTCATCTTACCGTTGTTCTTGTCTTCTCTACCTCTCAGTGTCTGCCTCCTCTTTCGGGTGCAGATGCCTTTTAAATGGCCAGAATGTGAGTTTTAATAGTCCACTAGCAACGCATCCCGACAATATGCGGTCAGAATGACAGACATTTCTCATGACAACAGACTCAGACACTTACAACACAGAACTGCTAAGTCTGTCATTAAATGTAAGTCATGTCTCTGAGCACCATGACATGCCCTGTGTGGAGTTGTTCACAACTCCGCAGAGATTCATAATCTCTGACTGTGTGTACTTTCTACCTGCAGAGATGACAGAATCTGCAGACTGTCTTAGTTTTTTGCACCTCGTTGACACTTTTTCATATCTTCCACAAACTTACTCAAGACACTCATTCTCTTTGTGATTACATGCACTTGTTAACACTGGTAGCATGTAATTAAGTGCATTAGGAGGAACACAATTTTGTGCATGTCATGAGAAAAAAGGGAGCAGAGAACTCAAGATCAGACATTTGAAAAATCATCCGTGTCAGGTGGATAGATCCTGATGTCTAAAGGATCACAGTAAATTCTGTTACAGTAACTCCGGTCTGCAGATTTATCTGCTATACCTGCTTCATCCTTGTTAGAATGACCCAGTTAAAATCTGGATGTAAATCCAATTGAGGACCTTTAGGAAGACATGAAAATGAAAGCTCACAGATGCTTTCCTTTGCAAATAGTAATAATGATCTAAAAGTTCTGTCTCTTGATGTTTAAAGCTGTTAGAAAAAATACTTACAGCTGGAATTGTAGTTCTGTAATGCCCTGTTCAATTTGGGTGTTGACTCACACTTTGATTGAAACCCAATCAATTTTCTTTACAGTTCAGATCATGCACTAAACCAAACATGTGTAACTTTCACACTTTGTCACAACCATAAACTTCATTTTGTGGCTGTGGTATAGTGCAAAAGTTGAAAAAGTACACTTTTTCACAGTCCTTTAAATAATGGTTTCCATCAGCCTTCAGTAAGAAGGCTTTCTGCCAGTCTCTGGCTTTCCCTAGGAGCATTTCAGTGTTCGAGTTGATTGATTTTATTTCATATTGTCAACCCATGGGTTTCTTTCAATTTGTTCTATGTCCTGGTTTATTTCAGTTTGGAGGTTTTTCCGGTTCTCAGGACAGACCATGTCCCAGTTTTATAACTACCATAACTTCCCCTCATTGCATCTCAAACTGTGTAGTATTTATTTGTAGTTCTTTTTGACACTCTCTTAGCTATTTTGTATGTTAAATCTCACCTCAGTTTTATTTCTGACTTGCCCTGTTGGTTTATATATATATATTTTATTATGCAGCTACAGATTATTTTAAATTCAGATGGAATTTAAAGTCAAATTGTTTTCAAAGCCCTTGTGAACAATTGATGCATTTTTAATTTCATGCATTTTTAATTTCCATTTTGGACATTTATTCAAAAAGGTCCATCTAAGTTGTAGCAACTATTCTCACTTTTTGGGCTTCTGGAAGTCCTAAAGATTGTTGAAGACAGCTAGAGGTAGCTGAATCAATTCAAATATTTCAGGGGAATAGGCTGAGCATTTCTAAACTGTCCAGTTTTTTTTTTAAACAAATTTGAAAAGTGTGAAAAGTGATGTGAACACTTTCGCATCCCATTGGCCACATGCCAAACAAATATTTTAATTGGTTATCAATAAAATTCTACTATTCATTGTCATGTCCTAATATTATACCCTTTTATAAATCTTGTAGCTACTGTATTTCAGAATGATAAGTTCTTTGAGTTTTGTTTTATTTACATTAAAATGATTTTGCCATCGATGGCACCAATGACTAACAACTAATAACTCGTAAATGAAGTCAAGTGATGAATTGCATACTGATTTCATCATAATTTCTTTATTGGAAACAAAGATACAAAAACTGATTGATGTTTTTTTTAATTCAAATCATAAAGATACAGAGAGAAAGACAACATGAGACGCCTCTTTGTGCCATGGAGTAGGATTTTGACATATTACCAACGTAAACTTAATTAGCTTCCTTATTCTTGCAAGGAGAAACTGTTGTGGACTCAGTGGGTCTTGGAATCTGTTGGCATATGTAGGAAACAACAGAAAACTTAATAAACTTGCATGTGGGAGGATGGGCTCACAACTCATGAAAAATAAGATGAAATTCAATGTGATACCTGTGTGTCCACAGAAGACTTTCCTGCATTTGCAGATTTCACAGTCTGACGCTGCAGAGAAACATTTAAACCCATGAAATACATTTCACAGACACTCCGAGTATTACATCTCCACATTCTCCACTTCTTACCCTGAATCTTCGGAGTGGATCAGGCTGAACCAGAGGCTGAGCGGGAGGCTGAGCAGGTGACTGAAAAGGAGCCTGAAAAGGAGGCTGAAAAGGAGCCTGAAAAGGAGCCTGATAGGCAGGCTGCTGCTGCATGACACCACCAGCCATTCCCTAAAACAAAACAGAAAGTCCTCACATTTCTAAGGATTTAAACCGAACATAATAAGATCTGATCTTCAGAGAAAATAGAGTGATTACCATCTGAAGTTGCTGAGGAGGATTCATTTGGGGCATTTGAGGAACACCCATCACAGGAAACTGGTACTGAAGAAGACAGAAAAAAATATTAGCTTTAAAAGTCTGAAACAGCAAAGAGGAAATTTTGTGTCATTGTTGCGACTGCTAACCGGATTGAGTGCTGCAGGGAACATGTTAGGAACTGGAGCCCGCACAGCAAAGGCAGGGAGTCCAGGAACAATCTGTGAGAAGAAAGATGTTCAATTCGTCACATATCTTCTTATTAGAGTAACAAGAGATGAGCCTGTGAACTAACCTGAGCAAACTGGGGCTGCCCGACTAAACCAATTCCACCACCAGCCACCAGAGGGGGGTTCAAACCTCCTGCCATCATCCCATTAAGCATCCCAGCATTCATGGCTGCCAACAGTTTCGCGGTCTGCAGAAAACATTAGAGTTTTTTTTCTAGTTGTCTTTGGCTTTCTGAGAAGTCATAAATTATGCCTACATTCATGTTTGTTTCTCACCTTGCCCCCGCTGACCTGCAGAGAATGAGAAGACGAGATGTTACATGACTGTACAACAGAAAGACACCCAAACTAAACAAAAAGATGCAGGCAAACCACACTTACACTGGAGGTGACTGCTGCCACAAACACGGTGAAGAGAAAAAGCTTCATGTTTGCAACTTGAAGTCTGCAAAAAGCACTCTTGCTCCAAATATTCAAGGATAACTGTATCTTTCTGCTGTGAGGACACCTTTTTATGTGTCCCAAAGATTATTATGAACCAATTAGAGAGAAGAAAACTGGTGTTTTTGTACTTTGTATCTGTCACCTGCGTGTCATGGGAAGCTGTAAAATGACATCTTCATTATGAAAAGCTTTAAGGAAGGGTAAAAGTCACAAGTTACTTTTTTTTTTAAGATTTTACCTTGGTAACAATTGTTCTCCAAGCAGGTGAACGACCACAGAGAGATGACGGAGGGTTTCGGTGTCTCACATGGAGCTTTAGAGGTTGGTGGAAGCCACTGAGTTACAAACCAGTAAGATCCCTTTAATTAAATGTTGTGGATTGTGGTGATGGAAGAAAAACATATGACATCATAATTGTTTTGTATATAACCATGAAAAACTAATTTAAATGTCTACTTACAGTGGATTACCAAATCATTTATATCTCTTGAACTTTTTTTTTTTTTATTTTGTCGTGCTGCAACCACAAACTTCAGTGTACTTTTTGTGACTTTAGAGGTACTGCAAAATTGAGAAGTAGAAAAAAAAACGTTTTTTTTTTTTGTTTGGGTCGAGGTGCTGAAAAATTGACATTCTCAGATATTAATAATTTAAGAAATAGAAAATTTTGAAATTTAGAAATAGAAAAAAAGTAATTCTTTCAACAGTGTTGTTTCAAATGGTTTTAGAATTTAAAAAAAAAATATTAACAAATCTAAGCACACACACAAAAAAAAACAACTTGAGGATTCATCCTGTTCTTAATCTATATTTTAATCTTAATCCAGGACACATAACTGACCAAAAAGATTTGCACAGGCTTGAAGATTCTTAAGTATTTCATATATTGTCACTTTACCAACTTCAGAACATTTAATTCATGTATAAGTTTGTTTATAACTTATATCAAGTTATGAACAAACAGAAAGATGTATTTTATTGAAGTGGAAAGAATGGAAAACTATACAAAACTGTGTTCATTTGTTTTCATCCCCCTTTAGTCCTTTAGTTTTATACCAGTAAATAAAACCAAGAGAAACTAAATACCTTCATAAATGAGCTAGAGTCCACCTGTGTGTAATTTAATCTCAGTATTACTGTAGCTGTTCTGTGTTGGCCTGAGGAGTTTATTAAAAAATTCTCAAGAACAAAAACATTATGAAGATCAGGAGACACAGCAGACACTTCGGAGAGAAGTTGATGTCAAGATAAAAGGTGAGTTGGGTTAAAATACTAGATCCCAAGCATTAAAAATTTGAAAGAGAATTAATTACTCAACCCATCAACGAAAAATGGGAGGAGGATGGCACAACTGCGAAGGCTCATGGTCACTCTGGAGCAGTTCCAGAGATCCAGAAGCCAGGTAGGAGAATCTATTGACAAAATGGCCTAGCCTTTATGGAACTCTGGCAAGAGGAAATGCTATTCATTTCAGGGGTTTCATTTGAAAAATATTAAGATACACTATATTTAAAATATCAAATAACATTTTAGATCGAGGATTTTGTTTGTAATTACCTAATTCAAATTCACTTAAGCTGAAAAAGATCCATGCGATTTAATTTCTCATTATAACTAGAAGCTTTGAGAGGAATTCATCATTTAAATGCAAATCTTGCCAACAGCTTCACATTTATGTCACCAGGATCAGACCGTAGAAAAATTTTACATACGCTGTTCATCTCAACATGCTTGTAGACGTTGATTCATTTCCTATGTATAGCTGGTTCTGTTTTATTTTCTCACACAGAGGCTGTCTGGGAACAGTTTCTTTGCTGCTGA